ACCCATGCTTCACACCACAGCTGTCCCGGGGTTGTGGCTGGCCACCAGTCTGCAAGGTGGGTTTACCAGTTTGCTGAAACGAAGGTCCTTTGAGGGGACTCCTCCTGAAGCCTTGCCAAAAACCCATCTGTGGATATTATCCACTGCCTGTCAGTGACAAAGCAAACCACAAATTCATAACTGTAACACTCATATGTGGAGATGAATGTTCAGCTCTGAGCAAGGCAAGCCATGTGCCCAAGCTGCCAACCAGGTGTTGTCTGACATGTTACAGGTCACTCAGCTTCAGGAAAGTCAGGCTAACTCAAGTTAAAAGTTTAACTGAGCAAGATGGGAGGCAATTTGCTTGTTGTGCCATTCTCTGGGTTGGGCCACTGTCTTTCTTGGGAATGTGACCCAAGGAAGTTTCTGGTAAGTCCTATTTGCTCCACGGTTGAACCAACTAACTCTCCAGAGATTCATTGACCAGCCATTCTCTAAACCACTGCAAGACGTTCCCTCCATCTGGAGCCAAGGACAACTATTCTTCGTTTCTACAGAAGCATTGCTGTGGTAACACGGTGAAAAATGCATTCTTGAAAAATAGTTGCCCATGTTTAGATTTCTGCTAGAAGCCTCCCTGAAGATTAGAGCAAAGCATTTTTGAGAATTTAGACCATCAGCCCTGCTTTTTGACCTTAATTGCCCCTACAGCTTGCTCAACCACAATGTTCTAGTGATAATAGTAGTAATTGGCACAATCCCCACAGAGGTATAGCAACCTAGTAATTGTATACTACTGTGTTTTCCTAACCTTTTGATACTGTACAGTCCGCTTAATTCAGTCCTGTTTAGCTTCAGAAACTAGACTATCTGAACTTGAGATACAGAGCAGGTATCAAGACATTGCCAGAGACTCAGAATTTAACTGAAATTTATTAAATGCATTATTTGAGGTTACAAAATTTAACAGAATGGTAGTTATATGAGCATAATTCAGGAGCACTGCTATACTTGTATTATCAGAGGAAATATAACTTAAACTTGAGATTAACAAAATGGAATGTGGCTGACAAAATGGACACCGCAGGTACGTTGACGTGACTTAAGTAGCCATGGTGAAATCTTACCATGCTGGGTCTGTTGTGTCACCCCGAGCCAGTTCCAAAATTACTCTGTTGTAGGATTAGTGTTCTGAAGCCACAGAGATTTCCACATGTCACCACAACTTCTCTGGTCATCTGGACCCAGGATCACGTTACCATTGTTGGTATGAAAACACCATAGAGTCCCCTGGCTAGAGTGGCCACAGATGTGGTCCCTTTTAGCCTTTGATCACTACTCCCTGGCAGCAGATATGTCATTGCTTGTCTGTTCCCACTAGCTGAGCAATGTCCATCTCGTTTACTTTCAGAAACAGGGAGACAGGGTAAAAATACAGTGGGAGTACAGGTAATCGTGGTGAAAATCTATTGGTTCTGGGAAGCACTGCAGACATACAAGTACACTTGGGAGGGGGAACCAACCTCAGGACTGCAGACAACCCATCAGGAGCAGGCTGCTGCAATCTATGGGGAAGAATGAAGGACAGAGATCTTGCTCTGCTGGGATGCTTGGCAAGGCCGGGGGGGTGGGGTGGGGGGGAGAGGGCTAACAACGGTGTACACTGAATCGTGCAGTCATCTGACCAGTCACTTTAGGCAAAACTCCATGTCACGGAAGCAGCATAGGGTTGTTTGCTGTGTTGTGTGAACCTAGCCTACAACTAGGTTCTCACAACATGACAAGCCACAATGGATTGTTGTCATGTTGTCCAGTGTCAATCCATGCTATTTCTGAAACCACAATAAGAAAATATGGTTCTATGCTTTCTTCTTACCATGATTGTTTGTGTCACCTGAAGAACGGACTTTGAGGAATGAAATTATAATAGCAAATCAGACTACTAGCACAACTGTTTGGATAATAGGACTCTTCTGTAGCACCTTCCACACTGGACTTGTGCTTCTAAATTAAAACAGGGTAATTATCTAAGGTCCACTAAAAAATCTCCCACTAATTAAATATGGAAAAAACAGACTGAAGCATTTCTGTGTCCCAAATTCAGATATGATACACATTAAGAAAAAACTATCACTCATAACATTAGAAAAAATGCTAAAAAGGTCCAAGTTTCTCAGATCCCTGGGCCCTATGGTTCAGCGCAGATCAGAAGTGAAGAAATGTTGAAGCTGACCAGTCAAATCAAAGTACCTGCCTAACTGCACATACTAACATATCCCTTTCTGGTCAGAGGTGACGGTTTACAATAGTGATGGAAACAAGAAGAAACAAGTTGCCCCTGTTCCACATTTCAAATGTGTGTTGCTATAAAAATAGTTCTGGTTGCTCTTCAAAGTACCTTTACTTGGGTATCACCTAGCAGGTATAGATTCTTACCCATTATTGAGCTGGTACATTTTCTACTGGTACTTCAAGCTTGAGATCAGTCTGACCATTATTCCCGCTACTGTTATGATTTTCCCCAGAACACATGACAAAATGAACACTCTGGGTCCAGCATGGCTTCCTGCCCAGTCCAATTCATGACATGGCCACTTGCAGGGAGGGGGAAGAGGTTCTCCATGGCTCAGGAACACATCTGCCCTGGAGGTCCCTGGGGCAGTTCCTGCTTGAAAAGTACTGAGGATCACTGCCCTAGGTAGTATCTGAGCATGTATCAAAGCTCAGTTCTTCATTCTTTTCCTTATCAAAAGCTGTAAGGCCTTGAGCCAAACAGCTTTTTTCCCTCCAACCTTGAAGAAAGTAAAATTGAAGCTTAACATGCTACATTATGTTTCTGCAACGCAAGCTCTTTTCACAGCCTTTAGTTCAGAGAGGTGATGCCATGATAGCAAACATCAGATATCAAATCCAAAGTCTTCTCACACAATCGTTCCCTGGGCCATTTGATCGTTTTAGACTCAGGTTAGCAGTTACTTCAGGAATCAGCTGACAATTCATCAAGACCCGGTCGACCATGATTAACCTTTTTGTTACCAGGTTGCCTAGTCCCAATTGTTTTGAGTCCCGATGTGTAGGTTTACTTGCTTCTATTTTTTCCCTGGTTCCAACTTTCCAATTCTGTATCTCCTTCACCCGAGTTTGCTCAGGTTCACTTGTCACATCATTGCACACACTCCTCAGTTTTTAGGCGCTCAAGTCTTTTTCCTGGCTCCCCTAACACTCTCTTCCTCTTTCAATAACAAACTGATCTGTCTTGTTTTGTGCTGTGGACTTTCTCTGTTGCCTTGGCTTGTTTTCTCACCCCTCTTTCCCCTCAGAGATCATTCTTCATCCATTCCCATTTTCTCTGTCTCCTGGCTAGTCTGCATCCTTCCTCAGGCGCCTTGCCTCTGAGCTCCTTGTTTCCTTGTTCACGGATGTTCTCTTCTTCCAGATCCCTCCGGGAGCATGACATGTTTCCTTTGCCGCACAGAATTCAGACAGCAAGCCATTTTTTTTCCCTTAGCTACTGAGCACTTCGATGCTTCTCACCAGTTTAGCCTAATGGTTCAGACACTTTACAATACAGATATGCTACAACCCAAATTTTCTAAGTGTTCGAGCAAAACAAATTGAAGATCTTATTAAGGAAATGCTTTTATCAGCCATTAGTGATTTCAATATACGGCCAGACGTGTCACAGATGTGCAACAGTTTTATTTCTTATAAAGCTATACCTCAACTTTCTTGAAGTCCTAACAAGTCATGTCACCAGTACAAGTTTCAAGCAATGTTTTCTTTCTGTTCAAGAAAGCAAAGTTGCTTTCCTTCAGACATGATACAACCTCGAATATAAACTCAGTTCTCATCCCGTGTGAATTATATGAAACCCAAAGAAACTATTTTAATAGCAGTACTGGCTGTTTTCTAAAATCTTGAAATACAAACAGAAAACGAAGACCATCTGAAAAAAGAGAAATGCAAAAAAGAACAAAGGGAGCATGTCCAGTAACCCTTAAAGCAGGCACGTTTTATCAATGAACACGTAAATATCTTGTGATGAACACTGCCACTACAGTTCACACATTTTCCTCCTCTGATTTATGTGTAATCTTCCCACTGTCATTAAATGAACATTCTGCTGTGAAACTGAAGGATCAAACTATAGCCATAAATAAAAATCTAATTTGATCTTCTGCAACTAAAGTTTGATAACCTTTTCATGGGACTTGGTATAATAATCTTCTTTTATTGTTTGTAGAGTATATAAGATGACATAATAAATAAGTTAAAGTATGAAACTCTCAAAATTAAGCACTTTAAGTCACCATTAATTTAGCGGAAAAAAGTTAAGCAATGCTTAACCCTTCCACTGAAATCAAGGGGCATGCTTCACGACGCCTGGAAGTTGTACATACAGAGCTCCTGCACAAACCTCTAATGGAAGGATGTGCATAACTTGTGAAGGATACACATAACTTTTCCAAACAGCAGGTACTTTTACCATATAGCAAGTTGCTTTCTAAATTTAGTGAAATGGGAATCCATGTTTGAATTCTAGGCTAGGATTTACAGACTGTGCGATAAATATCATTAAAATGTTTTACTAAATCTGTGCATGTTTAAAAGGAACTCCATCATTACCCAAGATCTTCATTCAAGAGAGGTTTATAATGTAAAGCTAGCATAATTTCAAGATAATATATTATGCTTTAGCATACTTTCAACATTTAAGAGATACGAAATATCAGAAAAAGCAACCAATAAAATGAAGTCACGGACTTGTTAAATTCATATACAATAAAAACAAAAAGGTAGGGTGGATTAATTGGTATTTTAAAATTATTTACATTATATTTGCTTTTCTACAGTAAAGGCTTTGGAAGAATGTGAAAGCCAACACAACCAATAATAGAGTCCTACAATCCTAAACAACAGTCAGTCTTCAAATCATTTGTCAGGCTCCAACATCAAGTTTAACTCAATGGAAAGATCTTCTCCCAGAATCAGCTTGTCATATTTTCAGCTGCCTGAAAAGAATAACCTGAGTATAGTGAGTTCATTTTTTTAAAAAAGGGTACTAACAACATAATGGAAATTTACAATAGCCATTTCTAGCTGTATAAAATAACCTGGTGGGTCTCTCTCCTTTTGGCTGAAAGGATGATGGGAATGGAAGTCCTGTAGTGAGGGCAACAGAGCTACCTTACGTAGCAGATCACATATCTGCTTATATATTACCTTGAACCCAATCCATGAACTACCACACAAAAAATGATCAGAATCCCCACCCCTGAAAACCACTGCATAGATGGAAGAGGGCCCTGGTTGTACTAAGGCAGGTGGTCTGAAGCTACATCTACATGTATAGGCTCTCCTTGCAATTCAGGTCTCATCACACAGAGTTCTGCGTTGTGCAAGAAGCTTCAGGCCTCCTAGCACATAGCTGGCTGAGCTGCTGAGCATAACCCTGTACTTCCCTACACAGGGGTAGTAGTGTGAAAGATGGACATCTGCACAGGGCTCATGAGACTGGTCCTTGCAGTCTACAGACAAGATTGCCACCGCTGGGACACCTGAGAAAAACAAAAGCACTTCCTCCTGTTCCGTCAAATTGATGAACAGTTTTGATTAAGAGGAACCACCAGCAGTACTAAAGGGCACTGACATCTTTTTTTCAAAAGTGAAGGGACAGAAATCCCACAAGAATTTTAAAAAGCAATCACTTGGCACTGAAAGGTCCATAATGTAGAGTCTAGGTGAAACTTCTAAAAAGGTCCTCTCCCAGTCACAGATTACAAGGTTTAACTGATATATTCATCACCAGCATTCAGGTATCGTGTCTGAGACTGCTTGCTTCTCTTTACAGCAATCAAAGCAAAATCTTTCTAGTATGGTTTTTTTCTGCAGGCATGTGCATGACACATAGATTCAGAGGTTAGCTTTGGGTTAAAACTACTTGTCCTAAAAAATAATATTGCAACTATTCTGAAAAACTATGTTGACTTGACTGCAGACATGCAGTATAAGAAGCAGCGTACACATAAGTACGCTGTTAAGGTTAATACCTGTTTTCACCCTGTTTTAAAATAAAGCATTATTCTACTGTAGAGTGTGTTCAACCAAATTCTAAATAAAATAGTACCAACTGCTATGAATTGTATCCCTGTACTTATGGAGATTTCCATAAAATTTTGAAATACAGGAGTTACACACATGTTACACCAGCATATCTAAAATTAGTTCAGTTGATGTAACATTTCTAGTTATTCCAGCAGGTACTGACAGCGTTATTCTAAGAATGTTCCATTAAGACTATAATCTTATACCCACTTAACTGGAGACAAATTCCATTAAACTCAGTGGGGATTACTTCTAAGTAGACATACATAGTGTCACATTCTAAATCTGGTCACCTTGTGCTAGGCAGTACTTCCTATCAAAGTACTTCTTGGGGTGGACAATATCGCAATATCGCTCTACAACCTAAGCTTTGGAATTTTAACCTTTAAAAAATGCATGTTTACTCAGAAGTAAATCCCACAGTGTTCAACAGTGCTTAAGGGTGTTTAGGATTGAAAACACACTTACTTTAAACATGATTTGATAGGCCAGGACCTCTCATGCATGCAATATCCATTGTCTTATAGAGCTAGAAACAAATTCTAAAGTTGTGATCTTTGGTACATTTACTTGGAAGTAAACACCAGAGTTCAGTGGTACTTGCTTCTAGAGAAGCGCACAGTACAGCAGGGTGTAGATGTAAAGGAAGTTCTTTTCAACTGGATGGTAGCATATTTGTCCAATCCTAAAGTATAAATTAAATTCATGTCTGTGTACACAGAGACACACACTTAATTGTAAAAAGGCAGTGGTGGACAGAATGGGCCTCGTGAATGATAGCAGAGACCTCACCCTGCCAACAAAAGTGCGTACAGTCAAGGCTATGGTTTTCCCAGTTGCAATGAATGGCTTGTGAAAGCTGGACCATAAGGAAGGCTGAGCACCAAAAGATTGAGGCCTTTGAATTGTGGTGCTGGAGGAGACTCCTGTGAGTCCCTTGACCGCAAGGCGATCAAACCGGTCAGTCCTAGAGGAGATCAACCCTGACTGCTCTTTAGAAGGCCAGATCCTGAAGATGAAACTCAAATACTTTGGCCACCTAATGAGAAGGAAGGACTCCCTGGAGAAGAGCCTAATGCTGGGAACAATAGATGGCAAAAGAAGAAGGGGATGGCAGAGGATGAGGTGGCTGGGTGGAGTCACTGGGGCAGAGGGTGTGGGCCTAGGTGGACTCCGGGGGATGGTGGAGGACAGGAAGGCCTGGAGGAATGTTGTCCATGGGGCTGCAATGGGTCGGACATGACTTCACGACTAACAACAACAACAAGTTGCTGTATTCTAAAAGCTGTCATTTGAAGAATGCTCAAAGGCTTATACACATAATTTGGGAAAGTAAGAGGAAGACATGCATCTATTTTTGTGTTATGTTATGATGTCCTGAGAACTTCAAATGGATTCTACTAGTATTCTATTAATTTTCTATACCTTTAGGGTTTCTGTAGCCTTGCGTAGCTCCTTAATAACAGCAGACAATGCTTCTGGGTTTATTCCTTGTTCACAGAGTCGTACACAGATCGAGAGAGTTTCCATATCTAAACCAGTATTTAATATTCTTGATATCTCAAGTAGAACTGAAAAAAAAGGTTCATAATAAGGTTGGATGCTTGAGTTGGACTACAAATAATACAAATACACTTTGTAAATACATACCAATAAAAAGTGAGATAGAAAAATATCAGATATAGTCCCAACTTAGCATACAGGAATAACGTAAGAAATGTCCTAATGGTTGTCAATATCTACCCAGATACAAACATAAATTATTTCATTCCATCTATCCTATTTGGTCATTATGGCTGTATGAAGGAAGGCACAGAGCTGTGTTCACTCAGCAGAACCACAGCACTGGTGGGCAGATTCATTCCAAAGGACATTTCATTTTGTTTCATTCATGACATTCGTATGCCGCCCCACAGCCCTTAGGCCTCTCTGGGCGGCTTATAATAGAACAAACATGCTCTATTCTATTATCGCATTTGTTCGGAACATGCAATGCAAAATTTAACTGTAAGCAATACAACATCAAAAGAAACCTTAGTGCGATTCTGCAACGCAGAATTTCAATACACAGCCCAGGGCGTAATGTGAAAAACGAGACGCAGCCGCAATCCGCCCCCCGCCATTTGCCAGGGAGGAGCCGCGCAGCGCTTCCCGGCGGCTCCTCGGATTCCCCGCGAGGCCCGGCGGCCCACGGCCAGCAGGCCCGAGACGCGCCCGCGTCGCTCACCGTCCATGGTCTCCCGCACGGCGCTCAGGTTGGCGGAGGAGGTCGCCATGGCGGCGGCGGAGGGCGGCGCGCGGCTGGCGGCGACCTCCGACCCGGACGGACTGCGGCCCCGCCGGAAGCCGCCCGGCTTGGCCGGGAAGGGGGTCCGCGCAGCCCCCTCTGCGCCGCGGCCCGTGCCGGGCGGAGGGGGCTCTCGGGGCAGGGCGAGGCGGCCGCGAGCGGCGCCGCATGACGCGTCCGCAGCCCGGCGAGCGGCTCACGGCGGCCCGCGGCCTGCAGGGGCCTTCGCTGGGGAACCGGAACTGGCACCTCAGGCACCGCGCTTCACCCCTCGGGCCTCCGCGCGCCTTTCCCAGCGGCGCCGCTCATGCACTGCGCACGCGCCCGTTCGCCGGCCTCGCTCGCAGCTCCGCCTCCTGGGTCCGCGTTGGCCAATGACGCAGCGATTTGTTTTAAACGAGGCCACGCCCCCTCGCTCCTCCGAAGCGGCCCTCGCTGCCGATGCCTTTTACTCTCACGATCTGGCCGGTGATAGGCGCGCGTTCAAATAGAGGAAAAAAAGCTCCCGCTCTGGGCCGTGATTGGTCGGGCCGGGGGAAACATCTCGCACTGATTGGCCGGCGCAGGAAGAGGAGTTAAAGAGCTTGAGGAACTGGGCTGGCTTGGCAGGCGGATGAGGCTGAATGGAGGCGCTGGAAGCGTTGTTGCCCGTATCGTAGGTAAAATGCTCCGAGGTATCTCCCTAATGGCAGAGATTAGACAGCCCGATCCACTGTAACTCTTCTTCGCTGGGCTTCTCCTTTAAGCTTCCGAGGAATCCTAGTGTAATTTGAAACCCGCAGTAAAGAAACCTGTTGTGCGAATAATGCTGGATATTTGTGTCCGTGCCTGCATGCATGCTTTTCTCCATAAAACAGGAGGCCCGTTGCAAGATAAGCTACTCCGTTCCCATTCCCTTTCTAGACTCCGGGGAAATTTAGATGGTCTCTCGGTTTGGAAGGGGTGCTTCGTTCCGTTGGGGCTTTGGCTGGGTCGTGGTTATTTGCATACCCGCATGAATTTTTTGATTATACGAACTTCACGCACTCTCTCACTGTTGCTTTCTTACTAGCCTAGTTTTGCATTAAAGTGGGTTTAGGAAACAACCTTACCATCATCAGTGCAGCACAGCCTTGTAATCCTTGCTGCTTCTCCCGGCTTTTCGTTCCGATAGCCATTTCTTGTGGCCAGCAATGTGGTCTGGAACATGAGCAGGCTGGTAGTAAGGCTGCCCTACTTGCTTGGAAATAAAACCCACTAGATACAAGTTGGGAAACGTATTGGATCAGATGCAACCGGTGAAGGTGTCACAGTGCCAGCTAAAGGCTGCAATCCCACCTGTGCTTCAGCTGGGTAAAAGTTTCCCTGTCTACTTCTGAGTATGCGTAGGTAAGATCAGGGAGTAGATGACTGAACTGCCTGTGGCAAGAAATGGAGGGCTGATCGTGCTTTGTGTGGTATGTATTGAGACGATCTGTTAACCCACTGGATTTCTTCTCACACTTTGTTAAAGGGTTAAGAGCAAAAGTCTACTCCCACAAGGTAGGGAGTCCAGTGGGCTTCAAACAGTTTTGTAAAGTTGTGGGTTCCCGGATCACATCAGAGATGACAGATAGCTTGTAGGCAGGTGGACAGCCCAGCTTGGGTGGGTATCTGAATGCATTATCTGTCCTGCCAGAACAAGGCACTGGCACCCAGCACCGACGGCGTGGTCTTCCTGGAATGTGTCTCCAGGTCTCTTGAAACTTGCCAGGGTATACATGGCGTGTGCACATGTTTCTCGCGGGAGACCAATGAATGTACAAATGGATTCCTGCAGCGAAAAGATTGGTTGGCTGCGGTGCTTAATCTTTCTGGCACTTTAAAGATGTCTGATGGCAATGACTTCCTTGTTTATTTTCTAGGCTCAGCTAACTGTTATGAATGACACAAAGAATGTTAAGATGCAGATTGCTCCAGGAACGCCCAGACAACTGCCAGTCCGAAACCCCTTCGAAAGTCCAAGTGATCATAGCCATCTGCAGGAGCAGATGGTGTTAAGCCCAACACTTTTTAAATCCACAAACTCCTCCGCGGTAAGACATGCGATTTGCCCTATGTTGCTCTAATATATTTCATAAATTCACATTAAAAAGGGTCATTTTCAGAATGTTCACAGAATGGCACATAAGGTTTTCAAGTTACAATACAAAATGTTCCTTCACGGCATGTATGGTGCATACCTTGCAAAGATTTTCCAAATATAGGCCAGTTTTGAACTGCAGGTCACTGTCTTCTGACTTGAGGCTAATGGCAGTATTAGACAACCTGATCCATTGTTGCTCTTCTTCAGTGGGCTCCTTCTCTAAGCTTCTGAGGAACACTAGTGTAATTTGAAAGCCACCATAAAGAAACCTGTTATAGGAATAATGCTAGATATTTGTGTCCGTGCCTGCATGCCTGCTTTTCTCCATAAAACAGGAAGCCCGTTGCAAGATATGTTGTTGTGTTCTCATTCCCTTTCTAGACTCCAGGAAAATTTAGATGGTCTATAGATGAACTTGCATTAATAAATCCTGTGGAAATCGACTCTGAAGACATACGCCGTCAAGCGTTGTATTTAAGCCAAGCCAGGTGAGTTGTGTGTCGCCAACATCCAATGATCCAACCGGAAAGTCAGCGTCCTTTTTTAAAATATTGTTGAAAAGGTTCCACATTCCACCTGGCCTACGCTAGTTTTTCTGTGACGTGTGCAGTGAACGAATGGCGCTCTTTCACTCTGTGTTTTTTATTCACACTTTCTAGAATCGATAAAGAGATGGAAGAAAAAAGACAAAAAGCCATTGAAGAGGTAATGGCCCATCCTGTGGCCCTTGAGCAGAATGTTTTAACCTTATGCTTAGTATACTATAATCAGTATGTATAAATGTGTCATCCTAGGATACCTTGTTCCACAATTGTTGCATGGTAAACTCATACTGAAAATGTATCAGTTGTGTGTTTGTGTATGGTGAAAACAAATATGCTTCCTGCTGTTTTAAAGCCAACACTTTCTTCTCACAGAAGCCTAGCTCAGCTTCCCCCAATGCAGAGCTCTCCAAATGGTTTGGATGACAGCTCCCACCAGCCAGGCTGAGTGGGACTGAAGGAGCTGTCATCCAGCACATCTGGATGGCACTGTGTTGGGGGGGCATGGAACAGTCTTGTGTCATGTTCTTAATGACAGTGCAGGTTTCTACACAAGGAGTGGTGGCACTGTGTTTTTCCCTGCTGCCAAAGAGATTTCAATCACATAGCCTTCACAGCTGCACTCCAAAGACTTTCTCCATATGATGAATTGTTGCTCTGGATTGTTCTTGTGTTTGGAGTCATGGGGAACTGACAACTGCACTAGGGGTGGAAGCAATGCTGAAAGGAGGCAGAATCTACTGAATCTTTGTTGCTACTTTAGCATCAAAGAGAAGGGAGTTAGAACCCTGTGTCCCATCTGGTAAATGTTGCTAGCTCCTGTTAAAGCTTGCTGCTGTCAGGCCCAACATTAGTCCTGTATTCTGAGGCTGTAATCCTACATGCTGTCCTTTTGAAGTCTATGGGACATGCTTCTGAGTAGAGATGCATCAGATTGCACTGTCCATTGATCACTCATTGCAATATTTCTTGCCTTTTAGTTCTTCACCAAAAGCATCATTGTTCCATCTCCTTGGACAGATCACAACGGGAAACAAGTTTCTCAACTGAGCTCAACGCGATGTATGTATTGCCTTTTCTATCTGAACTGCTTTGGTTCAAACTGCACACTTGAAAGATTAGCTGACCTTGGACTTCTTTGAATGAGTGGAGCCAAACACCAATCCATTATCCACCAGCTGAAATCATCCATGGATTATGTTGCAAGTTCATTATGTATTTGCTGACATAACTTTTCAAGGTTCTGATTCTGACCTGTGGAGCCCTGTGTCTTTGGAATTGTATTCCTAAAAATGCTATATATATGGATGATGTTCCAGAAATGTAAAGGCCAGAGGGGGGAAAAACATAAAAGTTGTGGAGAGTGGATCTTAAAAAAAAAAAGATCTTCCCCCATTTTTTTCCACATGGATTTTTTTTTTAGAAAATTGGCGGGGGGCTGATTTTTTTCCCAAACAACCCATGATTAATAATAACCCAACAAGAAACTGTAGGTTCTTTTCCTACTTTGTTCAACGTTAATGCCAGAGAGTTAAATCATAGCACAGTAGTAATATGTAATGATAAGTCAGGATTCAACAGCAACCATATCATTATGTGGAAACCAGCCCCATCTAATTATCTAGATTAGATAATTACTGATCCTTTCTTGAGGCTTCCTCATCCCAGATTTTTTTTTTTTAAATTCTTGTTTCTGCTACTTGACATTATTATTGGAACTATTTATTCAAAAGTTGTCTTCTGAAATTATTTACTAATTTCTCTGTGTTGGTCTTCTAATTAATTTATTCTCTTTACAGTCTCTCTTTTGATGTTATCTCAGCTTTTAAATGAGAACTTACTGTCTTGCAGGTATTAATCTAAGTGATGCTTCACCAGTTGGCAGAGAAGCCATCATACAGCCTGGGAAAAGTAATGGTTTGTATTAGACAAGATGAGAAAAGGAAACATAGCTGGTATAATAGCTTCTGTATTCATTGTAAACTCCTAGGCCCATATGCCTCATCAGAAGCGCATGTGTCTTGTGTACTAGGTGGAATTAATAAAGGCTTAATGCTGATTCGTGAGTACCCAGGAAATTGTTGGGATTATAAGAAGTCTGCCATTCAGCTTATTGCTGTTTCCAAAATACATTTGCTTCCTTACCCAAATGGAGGGAGACAGAGGTGGCAGTCGGGACGGGGATACAGGCATGTTCTTAACGACTTTCTCTGTAGCCTCATGTCAGTTGTGCAGAAGTTACGTGTGGTGCAGGCAGATCCATCGGGAAGAAGAATATATGCATGCCTGTTGATTTATTCTGCAACATACCTCTTTTAAGCTGTCCAGTTTTAGGATGTTTACCATTACTATGTTTTCATGTTTCTGAACACAGATGACAGGGAGAGCAATACCTCTGGGATGCTAATGTTCCAACTGGAGGAAGCATTTTTAGTATGTGATGGAGTGGAGGCCAGCTACTGATTGAGTCCAGTGTGGCCTCCTACCAACTGTGAAGTGAAAACTGGCCAGCCTCAGCCAGCATGGCAAGAATTGTAGCCCTAAACATCCGGAATGCTAGTGAAGGCTGTGGCCAAACCCAGTCCTTGTAGGTGTCTTCTTGTTTAGACTGGGCAACTTGGTTCCTTCAGAAGCTTCAGAATTCCCAGCAGCCTTAGCCAGCATAGACAATGGTGAGAGATATTAGGAGTTGTACCCCAAAATACCTGGAGGGCCGCAGGTTGCTTACTCTGTGATAAAAAACGGTTTATCATGGCAGAAAAGAAGTATAGTTGAGCCTTCATGAGCTCATCTCTTCTATTCCAGTACAGTTGTAATGAGAGGACTGTGAAATCTTGCTTCTGTTCTTTCATTAGCTACAGCTTATTGTTTTCTTCAAAACAAATGGTGAGTGATCTTTGTCAAGGTTTGTTTGAAACAAGCCAGTTTTGTTTTGGATTGTGCCCTGTTTGAACAACTTGCTGTTAAACCATAACCATAGTTTAGGGTTTTGGCGACATGCCAAACTGTGGTTAAGCAAAATCAGAAACTAAAGCTTCAGAACTTGTTGCCTTGATAAAGACATGGGAAGAGGGGAGCAAGCAAACCCAAGAAGTCTTCTTCCAATAAATCACGGTTTATTGTGACATCCAAATGCAGCTATTTTTTAACCACTGTGATATGCTGGAATTGCCTTCTTGCTTAGTGATTCTGCCCTCTTTACACTTTGCAGCTGCTTGCCAGACTGTGTTATCTCTACCTGTAGATTTCGACATGGAGAAAATACTAGGTATGTGACTTGGGAAATACCCAGCTACTGCAGGGTGAGTCTTTGTAAAAGTGTCTATGGCAGGAAAGAAATGTTAGGCAGTCGATCTGACAATAGTCCAGGGAGTCCTAATCGGAATGCCATTTCCTTTTAAGGCTGAACACCCCACAGCATTTCACGTGCTGGATCCCCGTATTTGTTGCAGCAGCCTCATAAAGTAGGCTAGTAGAATTGCCCTCGTTGTGCAGATGGGTTTGCAGCTAAGTGATTGCCTAGGGTCACCCGATTCAAGTGGAACTGAAGACTGATTTGAAGTAGAGATGCAGGACTTGGCAACGGCCCTCCTCCGGCCTTCCTGCACCCAGGAAGATTCATGTATTACCCAGTTGGGTGCACTCCAGACGTGTTAGACTGCAATTCGCATCCTTTCCAGCAGCATGGATGGTCATCCCACCCGTGGCTGAGGACAGGTGCAGTGCAGCCCAGAGGAAGGGCACCAGCAGGGGAAGGCTGATCTGTGCAACAGCACGTAACGTGGGCAGAGAGGTCCAGTGGTCCCTCGTCTGCGGGATTTAAGCAGCCGGAACTCTGCTGCCAAAGTTATTTGCCTGAAGAAGCAACCGCATTTGGCAAAGGCCTTTGCTTTAACTGCTAGAGTGCAGCACCTAAGTGCCGGGCAGGAGCTAAAATATGGCCCACCTGGAGTCCCAGTCTGTGTCTCTAGGCTTCCTCAGATGCTAGTGCCCTTGATGGTGTGGTGGTTTCCCAGCTTCTGTGCAGATCTTTTTTATTTTACAAGTTTGAAAGAGTCTCCTCAGGCTCAGTTACTGGCACTTAAGAACTTGAAGCTAAAACGAGTAAGTTTTTTTTGTTTCATTGTGGTCAGCAGCAGTGTATAAATCTATTAAATAGATAGTAAATAAAACCCTTGCATGTGTGCAGAAACCCATTCCTTGACCTCTGCGATTCTGTATACCATTGCTCAGGCGAATATTATAAACCTGATGAATTGGCCGACCAGTCTCAGGAGAGCCTCAGTACCTCCTCACTGAGAAGAAAGCTTTTTTTAGATGAGAATGGGAGTCTGTCGTCTGAGAACTTCTCCCCTTCTCCTCAAAGCTCACCCACCGTTCCAGCCTCCCTTGGAATTCTGTGTTCCATAGACATCTCTCCGGTCCGCTGTCGAAGTCCTCTAAACACATCTAGCTCGGTAAGACGTTTGCTCTTGGCACATGTGGTTATGTTGATGCGAGTGGAATACTTTTAAGTGAGGCAGTGTGCCTCGAAAACTTGCATTTGGCAGCTTAGATTTATTTCTTGAGATGCTTAATTTGGCTTTCAGGTTCCATTGCCAGCAGAAAGTAGCTTAAGATATTTTGGAAGCACAAATATATGCATTGCAATTAAATACACACATATCAGCAGTCGCTACTGGATTAAGCATTAAACGTTCACTGGGATAAATATACCTTTTAGCGGGTGGTGTTTAAAGTCAACAGAGATGAGGCCATATGTATCTTTCTGGGAAAGGAGTTTCAAAAGTCTGGGGCCACCACTGAGGGAGCCTAGCTGGTACTCAAGTGAGAACCAGCAATTTCTAGGGGACAGCTCAGAAGAATGCTATTGGTGGTCTCCATTTTAGTGACCTGTTAGACTGTTGGTAGTAATTCAAGGTTCATGTTATGAGATAACGTAAAATAAAGTACTTATATTACACTATTTTCTGCCTTGCTGAAGTGCCTTTTGCTAATGCACGTGGTGAACCAGCAGGGCCTACGCAGTGTCTTGTCACAGTGACTGCAAAGTAAGGACATCTGGTTAGGGACATCGTGATGGACACATCCCTTTGGAAAGTTCTTAGGTCTGATTGCTGATCTGGACTCAGACCAGTGTGTGTGTTCTCTGGCAGCACTGTAGAAAACTCAAGTGTCAGAACCTGTGGAGATGCTCAGAAACCTGGCAAAGCTTTGCGCAGGAAGGAAGTCTTTGGTGATTGCGGCAGTTTCATAGCCTTGACCCGTGTTCTAGTTCTCATCTACTCCCCTGCTTACGGGTCTCACTAGACTTCTCTTTTTCCTCTTCTGCGGTGTAGCTGCAGCAAAGCAAGCCTTTCTGCTGCTGAGAAAGGGGTAGTTCACAGTTTCCAAAGCACCCAGAGTCGCAGGAACTGGTGAGCAAGTGCAAGGAAACTGACTCTTCCAAAAATTCCTCTAGGGGGGTGGACTTGATGGCCTTCTTGGCCCCTTCCAACTCTAGTATTCTATAAATCTATGATGAAGGGAGTGATCTGCTTGCTATCCACTTTCACAAGGGACGATCACTTGCTGCTTTAGTTTCTTCTGACAGATTGCCTTTTGACAGCTGTCTAGAGAAATGAGAACAACAAAAACACTCTTTGCAGACTCTGAGCCAATGCCCATGGTGCGCTCCTGCTACACTTTGACAGTAGATGCACCGCAGGGCACTGTACTGGTAAGGGTGCTGTGCAAAAGTGCGCGCCCACATTTGCACGAGACTGACTGATTTTGAAAGAAGTATGAAAAAGTTGTGCAAGCTACTGGGTGAAGAGGTGATGTGCCAGCGTCAGCCCTTCCAAGATGCCGTCCGGGCACTTTGAAGGGGCTGCCCTTAACTGTCAGCTCTGAGATCACAGAAAGCATTCTTGGAAGGGAAAAGCAGGGTAGGGGGCTATGATAAGCAGAAAAGGGCTGCAGTTGCAGCAAAGCGGCAGAAATGAAGAGTCCTGGCTTGGAGTCTCCCAGGGTAACTGCGGGAGGAGTACCAAGGGGAGAGAGTAGGGGAACTGTCCATGGCAAGCTGTATCCCGGGAGCTTATTTGCAGGGTACGTTACCCTGATGTGCAAACCTGCCCTCTGGCTGCGAACTTTGCCAGGGGAAACAAGCCAGGATGGCTTCTTTCCCCTGCCATGTGTCCCGCTTTGCGTATGGGACCGGCATAATGGCCTGCAGCTTTTGTTTAAGCTTGACCGGCACTTTTCTTGTTATGTTGAAAGGGCCAGTTTTCTTCCAGCCCTATTCAGGGAGGTACGAGGACCTACAGTCTGGGCAGCCTGCCCAGCCCTTCCTTTCCAGAGGGAAACTCCGCCAACATTGCTTCTCCGACTTTCTCCCCCATTGGGATTCAGATAAAGAAGAAGTCTCTGACAGGTATGTCTCTGCTGGCAGCATTTAATCTCTGATTCAGGACTACTTCTGTAGCGTAGGTCTATTAGGCACTTGGTCATGGTATGTAAAATTCCTTATGTATATCTATACAAAGTATGTGCTGCGTTGCTCTCATTGTATGGTAGAAGATATTCTATTTATTTATTACATTTCTATACTTCCCGATACCCCAGAGGGCTTCTAATAAACTGGCAAAAACTAAAATGCTGAAGCGTAAGCTAAAGAATTAATTACTGTAACAGAGTAGAACAAAGAGTGACATATTTTCCACAGTTGTAAGCAGACAAGCACTCATTTTCAGAAAAAAGGAAATGGGGAACACGGGCAGAAAACTGTCTTTCAGTCCTTCCTCTAGACTTTTGCTTATGACTGAGCCTCAGGGTTAGGTGTTGGCCAACTCCAAAGTCTTTGGATTTCTTCTTTCACCTCTCCTGAGCCCCTTGAGCAAGCAGGCTATATGCTTTTTCTAGTTTCCACAGGAATAAATTGACATTGCTGCTGGTGTCTACTGGTCCTTCCAGAGCTCTTCAGGAAGGCAAAAACAAATCCTCCAGCCTTTAGACTGAATGTCAACAACAAGAAAACCCACAAGGCATGGAATCCTTCCTTCTCTTGGAAGGCAGAGACAGCGATGCTACTTGCTGTTACTTTGAGATTTGTCTTTTACTGCTCATCCTCCATGGACAGGGATTGAGATTCCGTACACAGTTTTAAATAATAGCTTTCCTGTTGCATATTTATCAGAAATCACTTTGGGGGGGTAAAGGCTGAAGAGCAGAATATGAACGCTCTCTCCTATACACTCGTCATTCTCTAAATATTCAAGATTCCAGAACTTGTTACTATAAAACCAAAAATATGCCCTCGCTAGTGTTTCCTCCCCACATTTTTTCCATATCTTTTTCATTAGTGTCCAAAAGCCCCTTCTCCTTTGGCGCTGTATTTAGTATCTGATAACATAAGTAGCCTAAAATCTACAAGGTGGTGGTGACTGACTGTATGTTTTACATTTATTTATTTAAAACATTTGTATGCCACCTGTTGTGCCATGGCATCTCTAGGTGGCTCACAGTCAAACTTAAAACCGTTATAAAAACTAATGCTAAAACTAAAAACATCACAACCTGAGATATTTTATATTCCAGAATGTTTGCATGACCCGTGTTTGTGCAGCCTCATTTAAGAAAAGTGTCATTTTGACACTTGTTTGAGAACGGTTTGACGTATTCTCTGTATTTTTCTTCTCCCACTTCCTTACAAATGAAGATCAACGGCAGTTTACATTTCGCTCTCCGGACATTCCTGCTGTTTCAAGCTCATGTCGGTCCACTCCTGCTGGTCCTAGGAATTCTTATACAGAATGTTCTCCGTTGAAAAATCCTTCTCCCGTGAGACTGGTGGCATGCCGGGGAGCCGCACGGTACCAGTCTTCCCTGTCCCGTCTGCCTTCCATGCCGGAGAGTTTCGGTAAAGAGCAGGAGGAGGGAGCAAAGGCATTGTCTGCAGAAATGCCCTTGCCGGCAGAGGCAACAATCAATCTGCACCAGTTCAGTGGGGATGGCTTTGCGCCTGGTACCCATCTGGTGGTTGCTACGGTGTCCATTTCACCAGACCGTTCCCAAGCCGACCAGCAAGGGCTGGCGTTGTTCCACGGCCTTGAAAGTTTCAAGGAGAACCATACAGTGGAGATGGCGGATCCGGAGGCGGTGGTGGGTGAGAAGAGAGCCTCTGAGGAGGGTGGCATGCCAGCAGCCGGCTTGAATCTGGAAGGGTCTTGTATTTCCATGTCAGCCATGGCGGAAAGCAGTGGCATCCCCTGTGACAGCATCAGCCTCCAGGTAAGGCTAGTGGTGTGATGCTGGAAGCATTCATACCTCTTTGTACCTTGTGCCCTACTGGTACTATTTTGCATTTGCTGCCTGCAGAACATTGGCTTGATCGAGAATTGTGCATAAACGGTTGCCCAGTTTTTCGATTTCATTGCTTCATAGCCAACGCTGTCTGGGTGGTTTACAGCTGTCCACTTCTTTACCCTTGGCAAAAATTTGGCCTGATATTTTTGGGGAGGGGGGGCGGTCCCCTTCAGCCTGCTGCACCACAGCCTGCGGGACCTCAATCCTCTGGGCAGCTTTTTTAGTGGGCTGGGGGGGGGGGGTTGTGTGGTGAGGAGTTGGCTTGGAAGACGGTGTGAGTCCTGTTGCATCCAACAAAAGCAGAATCCAGCCCCATCACTGTGTAGCAAAGGATATCACACGAACTGAGATGTTCTGTAGGTTTCTTGCCAGTTATTTTCGACAGAATACCTGGGTGGACACTTTGGAAGAAAGTGCTATATAGGTTTAAAAGGTGACAGTCCTGGCCCGTGTCATGAACTGCAGCCTTTAAATGGTGGTTGTGTGTACATTTTCTAGCAGCTCTTGGTAGCTACTGGTCTCTGTTACTTTCAGAGATGTATGTTAAATGATGGATGGGGAGAAATGGACATAGGCTAGGTGTCTCCGCAGAAGCCGTGGGCAGTTTTGGTCAGTGAATGTGTTGTGGTCCTGTCATATTGGAGCAGTAGAAACAGTGGAACATGTTCTTTTATTTTGCATCTTTTATAGGGGATGCAGAGAGAAATTGATTAAACAATCAATAGCAAATCTTTATGGGATTAATTCTTTCACTCTGGTGTTTCAGGGATGTATCTTCCTAGGTTACTGGAAATGTCAGCATTTTTAGGATGGCAATTCAGATTAGGAAAAATGTGGTCTATTGAGTGAAAATATTGTATAAATTGAACTTGTTTTAACTGTGTTTTAATTGCTCTACTGTTTTATTAATTAACCTGCCCAGCCTGTGGGTGTAAAATAAAAACTACACGGCAAGTGCTGGCCTGCGCGCTTTACAGTGTAAAAGACGATGAGGCAGCAAGGAAAAGGGGGATGGAGAAGGCAAAGGAAAACAAATGTGGGCATTTGTTCGGAGACCATCCTTGACCATCTTGCACGGAATTAACTGGGGGTAGAGGAACAACCTGGTCGCCGGAATCTCAGCTGTACCAATGAAGTGGCCCCGATACCCTATTTCTCCCTCTTTCGCAACTAGAACATTTCTTTAAAACTCAGCTTTAAATTCAGTTTTGGGCTTATATTCATTACCCAAAACCTTCCAGTCTCTTGCTTTAACTGTGCAATCCGCAATCCTGTTTTTGTTTTGTTGAGTCAGAGCAAAAGAATCAAGGGATGTGTCTCTGCTAAGAATGTTTCTCTTGTGACTGGGACAAGGCATCTGTCATCAGAGGTTTTGCTGCGTTTCGTGTTAGCAAGACGATGAAAGCAGGCCTTGCCTCCCCTTAAATTCTCTGCCAAACCCTATTAATCCAGCAGAAGTTTTCCGGGGGCTTTCCAGTTCGCATATGGCTTTCTCTCCCACTTCTTCCTGTGTGTTAGCATCTGGCAGTCCATCCTGGCACTCTCCAATTATTGTCTGGTTTGTCCTGTAATGTCTCTTGGCTAGGTGGATAGTGGCTACAACACCCAGACGTATACTAGCAGTCTTATGGATACCATGGGACCCGAGACCAGTTGCAGAGAGAATGATGTCCATGCCAACGACACTCAGAACAAATTTCAGGTTTTCAAAGCAAAGGTAACCGATGAGCTTGGTACTGGGTGTATTGTTTTTTCAGGCTTGCCTCTTCTCACTATCAAAGCCCTTATTGCTGCAAAGACTGGCTTGAAAATTATGGGCAAGAAATCTCTGAAGTAAGAAGGGTGTCAGAATATCTGTGCAACTCCACTGCAGTCTAATCAACAGTCGGGCCCATTAAACATAACCTGCATTCCTAGCACCCCCAACCATGGTTACTATAGTTTCCATTTTTTTAAAACCATAATCAGCTGTAAGCTGATTTGACACATGCAGAGGTGGTCTCCAGGACTTCGGCTGCTGCAGTTTGACAAAGATTGTCGTGTAATTTTATGTTGTGTTTGTTTTGCCTTTAGAATGGAAAAGCCATTCCAAGATACTGGACTGAAAATGAGCCCGCTTGTAAACCCAGTAGTCACTTCCTAGAAATGCCTTTGTCAAAGTGATCCATACATGACTTGGACTCCTGAATGGATGTGTGGACAGACCTTGCAAAGAACCCAGGGTGGTATTCTTGAGTCACGTACGATGGACTGGCAGGTGCTTTCCACCAGAGTCATTGTTAAATGAATAGCTGGGGGAAACTGCTGTCATCTCAGAAATACAGGCCTTGTCAGTAACACAACACCAGCCACTTGGCATCCAGGAAACACATAACCCCGTGGTTCTCAAATGGCAATGTGTTTTGCAAGGATGGTTCTTGGTGGGTCTGTTCACATGCCCACTAAGATTTCTCAGCAAGGGAAAGGCTACCATAGTTAGGCAGATCATGGTGCCTGAACACACAGCTTCAAGTAATTCATTTCTCTCAAAGATCTGAACCAGGTGTTGCGAGTATCAAAAATTTCTGCAATGACGCCAACATGATTATCTTGTTTTCCATGAAAATACATAAAATTTGTAGGCAACTGCATTAACTCTTTGAAATCTCTTGGAAGATTTTGCTAAGGAGCAGATCCACTATGCCACAATACATTGCTTTTAGTGAACTGTGGTTCTTAGATATATTTATGCAATATATAGAAATGTGGAGTTCTTACATAAAATGCTGTTGTTTACTATGAATTTGCAAAGCAGCCTGGCTTTAAATATACGTGAACATCTATTGCACAGTGATTTTAAAAAAAACACATTGACATGAAATATTGATCAATAAAATTAAGACTTCTCACACCTAGTTTCCAAGTTCTTTCTGTACAGTGATTTTGGCTTAGAAAATGAAGGGCTATTTTGATGGGCTTTGTTAATACTTTCACAAATTTCTTGTACATGCCTGTGGATACCTGTTGAGTGCTGTAATTTATAAGCGAAATGTGGTGAGCATGCGAGGTCATCCAGATGATATATTTGCATGCTGCCTCCTCTCTTGCAAGGAAACTAGGGCAAGCTCTGTCCTTTCACTGCATTCTCACAACTACCATATGAGGTAGGTTAGGCTGAAAGCGACTAGTGAGCTTCACGACTGAATGAGAACTAGATCTTCCAGGTCCAAGTCCAACACTAGTCGCTATGCAATCCCGCTTTGCAACATCCAGCAGCCCTAGCCAATAAGAAGTTATAGTGGGTGTTGCAGGAGTCAACTGGTCCAAGAACCAACAGTGAGAATGCTAGTGGGGCCTGTTTACAATGTCATATGCGCTTGTTCTTCAAGAACTCCACTGGTTTCCTATTTGCCAAGTGGTTTTCCAACAACTGTAAATCAGACTTACCTTCTTACTGTTTTGTTGCCCCATGTGGCAGTGTAGGGTGGTGTCCACAGCACTTCAATTGCAAATATGCCAGGGGATCCAAAAAGGCTTGGCACCAATGCATGATGTCTGCTATCCCAAATGAAGTGTCTGTATGACGCACGTGAGTCACTGCTGAGGTCTCTCTCACATCTCACTCAAGCTTAGTAGGTGATAATCTCTGTGATTACGGGAGGATACAGCCTGGAACATGGCTTCTTGAGCATAAATACTACACTGTCCCTTTTCTACTTTTTTCTAATAGCACCAATGCTGTTTTTCTTAGCTTAAAAGCAGCAGCAACGGGGAGGGGGAAAACATGACTAGAAAAATATCACAAAGCACGTTTCATTTTGCAGATTAGAGCTGAACTCAGCTGAAGACCAGCATAATATATCAAAACTTCACACTATGAGAACCTAAGCATATTCTGTACTTCCGTGTTTCTGTAGAGACAGATTCCCAGAAGCTTAGCTTCATTTTGTAAGTGATACCTTTAATGCAATACATGAACAATATTTTAAAATTACATCAGGGGAGAATGAACAATTGTAGGAATCACATTTTATAAACTGCTTTTAAAAGTCTCTTTAAAACAATATAAAAGATCATCTAATTGGCCTTAACTATTTTATATTGAACATTTTTATTCATTGCTAAAAATGAAGCTATTCTCCCAATTTTGTCTTCTTTTTCTCTGGTTCATTGGTACTGCTCAGTTGCACTGCATGGCATGTATCACTTCCGCCTAGCACCTGACACAGAAGCAGCAAGTTAGTTACCATTTGTGGAAAAGACACCTGTTAAGATTTTTAAAACTTGTCTAGCAACTTTAATATATGTCTGTTTCAACCCCCCAAATGAATGTATTATTTGAAGACCCTCAAAACAAGGAAAGTATGGAATCATTCAGAAATTCAGTGATCAGAGGTTATTACTACTTGATAACATCCACCCATCCAAACCAATTCCCAGTTGTCCTTCTCCCATAGAAATAGAAACTGTGTTATAGACAGGAACTGGTTCAACTGTTAAAGAACAAAATCACCAGAAACGGAATAAATTTTAGTGCTTAACTCAAGCACATCCTGTTAATTTTTTTGCACAGGAATGAATGGGGGATAAAAAAGTGGACACTGCTTTTTCGTGTCCACATTTGTGTCCACATTAGGTGGACTCGCCTATCCTTTATTGTCTCGGATCCTAGGAGTATAACCCTGCATAATGGTTTTATTTTGGGTTGTTAGCAATGGACAGCCCAAGAAGGAAATTCATGTGTATTGTCGGGTTGTAAGCTCTGGGTTGTTTGTCCTTAACAAACCACAGGTAAAACAAAATGAAGGTTTCACATGTAACAACCACCCACAATTCACGAACCCATATTCCACCCATATTCTGGGCTGTTACTATGTAGGAACAAGGTTAGCACAGGCATTCACAGGACTGGCAAATACCTAAGGTTATACAGCACTTTAAACTGAAGTTGCTCTTCTGTATATAGTAGACTACGGTATCCAATGAAAATGGACAGTTGGCAACAATGAATTTTATTTTAGACCCCCTTAATCTAAAAAAGAGCAGCACTGGCAAATTTTAAATGAAAATTGACTCATCTCACACTTTTCATCAGGTTCTTTTACAAAATGAAAATTCCTCACACCTCCTTCCCTATATTCATCACACACTCAGAAAATATTGCTGGTCTCCTGAAAATCCCCAGGTATTTTTGTTGAAAAAGGAGCCTCAGCATATTTCAAATGTTGCTTTGCCACCGCCTTAAAACAACTGCATAGTGATTACAGAACCATGACTTACTCATGTTACTCTATTGCTTTCTGCTAGGGAAGTGTGAGGAATTTGGTTTGGGAATGGGAATTCATGGGATTTCCTCAGTTTGGCTCCTATGACTCTGGCCCACCTTCTCTCTTTCCTAAGTTCACCTCACACCAAGGGTTCCCATGTGTATTCAGCAGGAAGTGAGTTCAAGCAGACTTCTGCTTTTGCACAAGCGATCTACAGGGTTTGCATTCTTTGCACAAAGAATTATATACTACGCACAAAGAAGCCACAAGTCTTCCAAGGTTCGCTGACTTGATCTCAGCTCACTTCCTGACCAGGGTTGAGCATGGGAAAGAAGTCCAGCCAGCACAAGATTGCTGGAGTCCACCCCGATATTCTGATATCTACTTTGAGCTAGAAGCAACCTACCTTGGGTTCTACCAGAGCCATGCGGATTTTCTGATGCTGGATGTTGGACGCATCTAACATGATGTTGACTTTAACCTTATCAAATGTATAAAATGTTGTGCCTTCCACAGTCAGAGAAGGAATCTAGCAAAAGAACAGCATAATTTTTTCAATTTATGTTATGTATTTGATACATTTAAGTCAAAAAGAGGGAAGACTATTTAAGACCATCAACAATGTGGCTTTCAGGAAAAGACTAAATCCTTAAAAAATGTAGAGATTTGGATTGCTATCCAGAGACACATCCACATTTCAACTGCATATCCATCACCATAAGTGGTTAAACTCCTTTACGAAAACTTATTCTGTCTAGCTACATGTAGCTAAAATAAGTTTCCCTTGAAGAAATCTACTGTTCAACCTAAACAGTTTTAAATTTAGGGAGTCTGAAATGCAGTTTGCTAATGGGGAAGTTCATGCTACTCAATTTTGTGCTTGTGGATTAGGAATATAAGAGAAAATTATTTTCAGTGCTTTTTAAAATCAGGATGGACCTGTACGAAACACTGACTGGGATGCAAGCTACAGCTGAAGTCCATACATTTCTGAGCTTGGAATATGATTTGCAGAACCCAACTCTATTCAACAGTCATAATATGTTTGAAAGAATGTGTAAAAATACATTTTAACCAATGGGAGACTTTGCAAAGATGCACATAATGAAGGCATACATTTGGGGAAATATGTTTACGATTGTCATATGAAAAGTAAAAAAAAAGTGGAAACAATGACCCTTACAATGAAACAACAATGAATTGTTGTTTGAACAATTCTGTAATGTCCAAACAAAAGAGATCCCATCCAGAAACAAACAAGTTTTACCTCATCATTGAACACAAGTGTTGGTTTTGGTTTATCCTTCTCTTCGAAGAAGACAGTGCCCTCTAAGCCATATTTGGGAATCAGAACCACAATTGCATTTTTCCTTACAAACAGAATATACGCTTCTTCATTCACCACACCTTTGCTTTTGAAAAACAACTGGGGAAAAATAAAGCTATGTTTAAACTATATCATGAAATTATCTTCTTCGACCGTCTCAAAAGAAAAAAGCTTTCTTGCTCACACAATCCCCATATACTAAGATAAATCTTCCCTCAGTAAATGCAAAATAAAAGAAACCAAGTAGTTCCAGGTGCCCCACGGAAGATAACCCCCCACCTGCGTATCAAGAACTACACATGACATGATGATAAACCAGCCACTGTCTCAAGATTCCTCAGATCCCAAGTGCTTGGCGGAATAAAAGGAGAGAGGGAGGGAGGGAGGGAATTAGTCACCTGAGTGTGGAAGGCAACAGACGCTCTCTGTGCATACTGAGCCATTTTATGCCTATAATTGAGATTCTTACACAAATCTGCCAATTTATGTTTATCGGTAAGGTCAGGGTATGTACTGTCTGCTCCTATGGCCACAGCCAGCAGTCGATGCACAATAATATCAGCATATCTGTAGTGAAGAAAAAAACATTTAGCACTGTGTTAAACGCTCCGCTGAAACTGTTAGCAGCAGCGGCTCTATTTGTTGAAGAATCTCTTCAGTGTCTGTCAATATTAACTACAAGCGCTGGAGAAGCAGTACAGACAGGTGTGCCAATGCTATTGTGTGTCCCTAGATCCTCAAAAGAGGGCCCACAGCCAGGGCTGGTATTTGAGATGTCTAGGGAAGGTATGTGGGGGCCCCTTTCCTTTCCCACATTCCTGAGATTTTTCCCTGCTGTGCCAGAGTGTGCAAAGCGCTCAGGACAGGGGCCAAGTGCCAGCTCCATATCTGAGGATTCGATTTGTTTACAGCTTGATGAGATATTAGCATATGATGGCGTCCTTCCAGTAACTGTCTTGAACAGCAGGAATAACAGCCTTCTGGAACACATGCCCCCAACCCTAATCATCTCTTCAGCATGACTTCAAAAACTGAGTCAACTAAAGCAACCTCAGAGAGTCATCCATCCTAGTGGAATCTGACAGAATGCAACAAATTAGAGCAGTAACATACACATTGTTTTTCTCTTTGCAACACTTCATGAGCAGTACCTTCTGATAGGTGAAGTAAAATGCGTATAAATAGGTGATGCTAAACCATAGTGGTGAAAGTCTGTGTCCATTCCAGAGCAGAAGTAAACTGCTTGCATCATGCACCGAGTTGCCAAGATGCGTAATAGCGTGTTCAGGTATGGAAAAGAAGAAGATTCTGCACTGTCTAAGGAATCCGCCAGAGCTTTTGCGGAATCAGTCTTGATCTCCAAGCCCTGTAGAGGACAAACAAAATGCAACCTGAATATTTCAGAACAATCTGCAGTTGTCTAAAAATGCATTATTTCCATTTTTGATTCATCACATTTCTATACTACCAACAGCTGTTTCCCTGGGCAGCTCACAATAATTAAACCCATGTAACACAACACAGTAAAAACAGCAACATCAATGATCTATTAGAGAGAGGGAGAAAGAGCAAGAGCTGGAGAGAGCGAGTGAGCCAGGTCGAGTCCACCTGCTGGCTGGGGGCAGGGCTTCCCCCAACAGTCATTCTTCTTTAGCAGGTGGGGCCCTTAGGTGATGCTGATGGGCTGTGCCAAAGGGCATCACCTGTTTGGCGCCGGTTCAGTGTGGGTTCAGGTGCCAGGCCAATTATTTTAGCAATTTATTGTTTTAGTATTTGCTTTATTAACATACTGTTGATCTTGCTGTATTTTATTGTAAACTGCCCAGAGAGCCCTCTGGGCTATAGGGTGGTATACAAATGTTTAAATTTAATTAATTAAAAATAAAACCCAAAATAGATCTTAACAGCAGTGAAAATATTTAAAATACAGTGATGGATTTTAAACAGCAGAACCTGGAAGACTAGAATGCCTGAGAAAATAAGGTGGCAGTTACCTGGTGTCAGAAAGACCACTACATAGGCACCAGGTGTACCTTTCCAGGAAACTCATTGCATAACCAGGGTGCCACAACAGGAAAGATCTTTTCCTTAGTAGCAACCCACCTCACTTCCTTTGTTGAGGGCTCCCAGAGAGGGACTGCCGAAGATGATCTGAGGATCTCGGTCAATTAGAGCTGTATCTATTAACACCAGCTGTTTAAATTGGTTCCAGACATGGACTGGAAGACTGTGCAAGTGGTGCGTAAAACAATCACATTGACCAATCCCTGTAAAGCATTTCAGACGAGCTGAAATTTCTGCACCATCTTCAAAGCAATTCCCACGTATCGGAAGTGCAAAGCACTTCCACGTGAACACAGGGAGAGAGCCCCTTGTATTACAAGCACATGTCGCTCCACAGGATCCCGATATTCCTGAGTGGCACTGGGGGTGGATCTGGGGTGAGGGGGAGGAACAGTCAAAGGGCTCTGCTGGAGGAGCAGGCCAGAAAAGCCCTGGTATATACCTGTGAAATACCACAAGGTGCTCCAGACGTCATTCGCTAGGTCAAAGGAAATGTTCCTTTGAACATTTGATTCGGATAACAGCATAAACATTTTGCCCATTTTGGTTCCAAGAATTAAGCACTTGCCTTAGACTTGGCAGCCTTCACAAGGATGTCATAATTTGATGGAGGCGGCGCGGGATGCTTTCTCAGCAAGGCATGCTCTGAAAATTCATCATAGATCTTTTGTGCCACAGAGATATTAGCAAGTAACATGAACTCTTCAACCATGGAGTTGGTTTCTCTGTCAGCAGGAAATATTAGATTTACGAGAGGCCAAGAAAAACGGTCTGGTACATTTTGTACGAAGATGAGGAGCTCAGCAGAGCTGGCTTTTAATAACACTTGTATAGAGTGATTGTACACGAGGCACAAATGTCCCCTGAGACAGATCTTAGTGACAGATCTTTTCTGCACTCTTGAAGCGGCTCCAGGGCTTGCAAAGGCCATGAGGGGCACCAGCTCCCACCATCCCTGGGATTTCAATATTGCCCAGTACTGCACTGGCCCTGCCCTCTTGCTCCATTCCTGGCTGGCTCCTGGCCATGCACGTTCAAGTATGGGTGCATGTTCCGGAGGAGGATCAAGGGCCCCAGTTCAGCGTTCAAAACATTGCTTCTTCCATGCGAAGACTGTTTCCCGAATATGGCAATAAAACCACGACCTGGTTAGGCAGGGAAAGCTTATTTAAATAAAAATGTCTTCTGGAGCCACAATAAACAAAACAATGGCAGTGCTTTCAACAATAAGCCATCTGAACTTCTGCATTGCCTGTAACTGAACTACTGGCTATAGTGACCTGTGCATTATTCTAACACTAAATAATTAGGCAATGAATACAGTTATTTATTATATTTATATCCTGGCTTTTTTCCTTTCCAGGAACTCAAGGCAACTAACATAGATCTTGTATTATGTTATTCTCCATATTCTCCATAATTCTCAATCTTATCCTCACAACAACAACCTTGTAAGGCAGGTTGAGATAACCATCTGTGACTGGCCCAGAATTACCCAGCAAAGCTCCATGGCTGAGTGGGGACCAGAACCCAGATCGCCTGAGTCCCAGTCCTGCGCTCTTAACCGCTACACCACACTGGCTCTCGCACAGTCACATGTGAAATATACAAGAGCAAGCACCTAGCAGACTTTTTTTGCCCAATTGTTTATTAATAGTGAACATACGTTCTGAGCTCCCACTAAGTTTAAGGAAGATGAACCATGGTATTTCTAGCAGCAGAAATTTCTCCATCTTTCCTTTTGATGAGGAGACTACTTAGCTTCCCACTACAGATGGAAACTGGGTGAAAAAATATGTTTCCATTTCACAGAAATTTAGTTGCCTAGTTAAGATGTACACTTTTGCAAATTTTAAAATTAGCTGATGAGATTTAAATAAACCACTTACATTTTTATGTTGGTTAGTTTGTTAAATGCAATACATACGGATTGTTCTCTGCACACTGACAATACTATACACAATCATATTTTATTACTGAGTCCATGCCTATTGTTTTTGAGCAGTCTCATGTCTGATAGATGTTCAAATCTATACTCTGAATATTATGTTGATGGAATACAACCAGAGGAAAAGTCCTTGCAACTCCTCAAACAGTTTATAAAACTGTGAACTTCATATCCCCATTAAGACTATACAAGTAACTTCTGCGATCAAGTAATAGGACCATCGACTAAAAAAGGCAGCAAAACTTACTTGAGTTCCTTTGTTTGTAAATCAATAGGATCATGGGTTTCACTATCCATGTGGAAACGAACTTCAGGTGAAGAAAGTGTTAAAGCCCTAAAAGCAAAGGAAAAATTTTACAGAACCTATTTTAAATGCACCATGTTTCAAAACAAGTATCAAAGCCACTTTAACTCCTACCAATACTCACAAAAATATATCTTATTTACAGAAATTCCTGAAGTTATTTTCACATCTTTTACCTTCAGGAACCCTTTTCACATTGATATATTTGCTAAGGCCCCCTGAATACACACTATGAAAACCAGAGCAATGCAGAACATTCTGGATCATGCTTCATAGGCTGGACATTTTCTATGCAAGGTATGAGGGTGGCCTGCCGGTCCCCACATTGCCAGGCTTGAACCTAGAAACACACCAGACGCACACTCTTCCTTCTGTGGCAGGCGGTGACTAGCAAAGGGGGACAAGCAATCTTCTCGTTATTGCTGATCTCATCCTGATAAACTTGAGAAAAGGCTAGATCAAAACTACAGTGCTAGATCATGCAATACATTACATGCTTATTACCCGTTATCTATTCGACGCTTCTTCAGGATTTTGGCTAGTTTGTTTAATCCACGTAGACTAACAGTGATCTCGTCACGCATGTTGGTGGAATCTATTCGCATTTGTGCCTCAGCATATGTAAGGGAAGCCTTCAAGGGAAAAAGAGAGAAGCGATAAATGTAGGGTGACAATTCCTAAGTGAAACTAATTTGAATATGTCAGGATTCAAAAACCTATTGCTGCTGGAAACACTGTGGCTACAACCTGAAGGACTGCACAGTCTTCAATGATTTACAGAACTATCCTGAAAGCGGTAAATAGCTGTCTTTGCTCTTGATTGTGAACCTGTCTTTCTGCTACTCCAGTTTTTACGGTATTGATCAACTGAGTCTGTTTTCAGGGATAACAACAGTTTAAAATTCATTACTCAGGGTTGGCATTCTAAAAATCCAAACAATTTGAATCATACCTTGGAGTTAATGACACTTTTTGTAAATCTAGTTTTCAAGATTTCAGCATTGTGGTTCATTTCCCATATACACGAAAAAGCCAGCCTAGAAAGAAAAGGGAAGCAAGGTATTTGCCGCCAGATGCAAGGCACTTGTGTGGATGCCAGTCCCTCCACCCTGCCCGATTCCCTCCACCCTGCTACTGTCCCTCATACCATCCTGTTTCCAAGCCCCAACCCTCAGAAGTACATCACTGGCAAGTGCAGGCAGCTATACAAGGAAGAGGCGATAGAAAAGCCCCACTGAGCGACCAGAGATCCTCTCCATTCACAGAATGGGACTTTTAGATTCTAAAGCTAGCACTTTGCATATCTAAAAATGAGTATTCAGACAATTACCTATCAACATTGGATCTCAGTGAACATAGGTTTGAACTCAGCAGCTCTGGAACCATATCAATCCTCTGCAAGAAGTGTACAAGCTGACATCAGTTATATGCTTCATATATACTCTCACAACAGGCATTTACGAAACTACATTCAATGTGTAAATTTGATTAAGGATATGTTCTTCATTCAAGGCTCCCTTCCCCTTTGGAGCATGGACGTTCCTGCTTTGTGGGTTCAATGACAAATAAAATCTAGCTTCTGAGTAAGTGACCCACTAGAAAAGTTCCACAAATGGCTCTCCGCTTTTCAGACAAGGGTCTTTCAAGCCCTACCTGTACTGAACCTGGAACCTTCACCATCGGAGCCGAGACACATCCGTACAATTGTAACAAGAAAGAATGACACTCTCTTTATTGCACATGTGTGGCTCAAATAACTGTATCTTTAATTCTGCCTCGTTTGAAGCCGGAATTTATTTTATGTCTAGGAGAAGCCAAACTATAACCAAGACAAGAAGGAAATAACAGAAAAAAATTACCTTTTCACAAAGATACACGGTTGTGCCTCTTTTTGCAGATTCTTGGTCCAAAGCATTTCCCGGTCGAATGAAATGGCTGACATCCGCAATGTGTACACCAACCTAGAAAATAATATAGGCAATTCCGAATTTTCTAACTTTCCCCATGTCCTAATGCCCTGAAAGTGCTATGTTTCGTGGTGGGCTGATCTGGTTGTATCTGAGAACTGTGCAGTAGCACATACCTCAAATGAAGCTGAACTAACAGTGCGATCATGTTTGTCTACACAGAAGTAATTCCTTAAACAGAACTGCCTCCCAAATAGGCTTGTACAGGATTGCAACTTAAGATTAAGTTTGGACAGGAATAAAGAGATACTGAAACACTGCACGTGCGAAAAATAGCACTTAACAAGAAAATGCCTATTTTCTTCAGTCACAAAGCCGTGCCTGACCCATCACAATCAGATGGACAACATTCCTCCAGGCTCTCCTGTCCTCCACCATCCCTCAGAGTCCACCCAAGCCCACACCCTCTGCCCCAGTGACCCCATCCAGCCACCTGAACCTCTGCCATCCCCTTCTCCTTTTGCCATTAATTGTTCCCAGCATCAGGGTCTTCTCCAGTGAGTTGTTCCTTCTCATTAGGTGGCCAAAGTATTTCAGTTTCATCTTCAGTATCTGACCTTCTGCAGTACAGTCAGGGTTTATCTCCTTTAAGATTGACTGGTTTGATCTCTTTGAGGTCCAAGGGACTCTTGGGAGTAAAAAGGCCTGTACTAATTTACTCAAGCTTGCCTTCTATTACAGTGTGCACATAACTGGCTATGGAGCTGCAGCTGACATGTAAGCATAGTCCACAGAACAGAACCCAGGCTTATTGTTGTGAGCAATCTGAGTCCTAACAAATATATCCACATGAAAAGAAACTGTTGTCTGATTGCTTGCTAAGCCACAATGGGTGTTTACCTTCCACCTCTGGCTCTTTTGCTATCCCTCTTTTATATGGTGCACGCAGGACAGGCAAGACTTGGCAAAATACTTCATTAATGGCTAAAAATACTTGCCAACTTCTCACTGCAACTGGAGGGAACTTACCTCCAGATTTCCATTTTCCAGGTCTCTACAGTGCAATGCATCATCAATATCTGTACAGCCAGGAGGATCCACACTGCACACACATAAATGCCTCAAGTCCTCTCGAAATTTCATATCCTGAAATAGTTATCCAACAATTTAAAAAATTATTACAGAGATTCAATTAGGATTTTTGGAATGCAGACAGCCAGAACACTAGGGAGTACTGAGTTGATACTTAGTTCATGCTAATTTCATAGATGAAAGAGACCAAAAAAAATAAAATAAAATAAAATAAAATAAAATAAAATAAAATAAAAACACTGGTGTCATTCTGATCATCACAGGGAAATCAGGAGTAAGTTTGTGGCTTGCTCTGGTCTATTCCAATTAAAACTTGAGACTTAAGGTAAAGGTAGCACATCAGAGCATTATGAAAAAGAATCAGTATTTGTGGGGCTGCAAGAAGATACGTTTCTTGTTTCTTAACTTTACAGACTGTGAATCGTTATTTTTCAACTTCAATTATTTATCTATCTATCTATCTATCTATCTAATTACTAATAACAGTTCCCAAAGTAAGACACATTGTATTGCAAAGCTATGGGAAGTAGAGGTGACACCAATTCAGGCATGGTCAGAAGGTAGATCTAGAACTACTAAGAGATCTCGAGGCACCTCATCAAGGATGTCTGATTTCCAGCTCTTTAAGAACCCTCTCCCTCCAGCCACCTTAATTATGCTTTTGAAGACACCTTTGGGCAATACAGGTGTGGATATGCATGTGGAAGGACATCTGTTTCATTGAATGAGCTCTGCCCGAGTGTTCCCATATTCAGGATGAATTCCTGTGCTCAGAATTGTTTGATTCTAAAGGTAAGTGTCTGTACCAGCTTCCAGCTAGTAGGTGACAGGTTGCTAGTAAAAGCAAAGCAGAGTCTGCCAGCCTGAAGCTTGCCCATCGCACACTAACGTATTGTTGAGTCTGCTTGCGATTGGTGCTGTTGCCGTACCTGATCTGTAATGCTCCACGGCGTTTGGGGCAGGAAGCTCAGAACAGCTTGGGAGAAAGGCTGGTGCGGGACATCATGTTCAAGCAGGAGGACTTCAGTCTCAGTCTCCTTATCCCCAGCTGCTCCTAAGTTCTTCACAAAATGACCCTAAACCAATATACATCTTGATCAATATTAGGAAACAAAGCTGTTTTGAAAAGTGTTAGCATAAGACTGTTTTAGGACGCAATCCTATGTAGGGTTGGGAATAAACTCTGCCAAGCTTAGGGTAGAATCCAAGCTTAGTTATACTTAGAGTAGAACCACTTGTATCAATGTGATATAAGCTAATCTTAACCTAAATTCCTCTGATTTTAATGCATCTATTCTAAGCACAGTTTAATGCTGGATAAGACCAATAAGAACTCCTTCCAAGTAAAATTCTTTGTTAAATTCTAACTTGGGTACAACAGGAGACTTGGTGGTTCTGAATCAGGATAGGAGCAGCTCAGGTTTCATGACAAAGTGGGTCACAATACATTTTGGAAACATGAGTACAGGCCATGGTAAGTGGCATATTTTGCCACTAACAGAAGTAGTTCAAGTTAATCTCTTCTGCATTCTCTTCTAACAGTCCCACAATCAAGCTGATCTAATCTTCAGAGGCAATTAAGTACAGCAGAGAAAGCAGTTCGTCAGTCCTTGGGAGAGGATCCCAAAGAACACAGTCATCCTCCTAAGGGTGCTGATAATGCTATAACTTCAGAGGGAGGTCTGTGAATTCTGATCCCCCGCCCCAGTTGCTCTCATAGAAAGAACTACGCTGGCAGCTTCCCAAAGCCACCAATGCAGTTTGGAGGGAAGGAAAAAAGAGGCAGTTTGGTAAGTGGAGAGGGGAAGGGAAAGTGCAGGATCCAAGAAATTCTATGGTCCCTCCAGTCCCAGCAGGACTCAAGGCCTGCCTAGAGGAAGGAAATTTAAGAGGAAGGCAGAGAGGCACTGATCAGCTCCATCATGCCTTCAACCCAGCCAGCAGCAGCTCTGTAGGGCAAAAACACTCAGAAACCTCAGAGACTGTGGGTTTCCTTCTAAAGGTTCCAGTTCAGACTCACATTAGGATATCTTGAAGTTCTAGGCCAGCCGTCAATAGCAACAATAATTCTTTGTCCTTCTAGTGTTGAAGCCTGTCTTGTTTCTATTCGAATTCGAGGGATTCTGCGATCCGCTGGTGTAAATAAATGCCGTCTTGCCTGATAGAAAGCAGGAACAACCACTTCTTTTAAAATTAAGTTTGCAACAGAGGAAGAAAGTATTCGGCCGCAGCTGTTCTTACCTCTTTTATTTGAGATTTAGAAAGCATGCCACAAAAAGGCCTCCAGTTTCTTTTTATAATGCCAACAACTCGGCCAGTTGGTCGCAGCATACTCTTGCTCACAGAAGTTTTCAGCTAGTTTTTAAAAAATAAGAAAGTGCACTTAAAACTCCTGTTTGGATGACAGAGAGGTCAGCTTGATGTGCTTTAGGGGTAGGGCAATCATGTTCTGGGCTGCATGCGATGTTATGGCAGTGTCTTTTGCATAAGCCTCCTTAAAGCTCAGAACACACTATTATGATGTAAGCCAGAGCAAGGCTGGCTGCATGTCATTCATTCTGAGCAAGAATTGGGCTTGGTGATGCTTGCGAACACAGTGTCTTCAGAAGTTGGGCTTCCGATAGAAAAATAAAAAAAGTAATGCATGTTATAGAAGAGATATAAAATCTCCAAAAATGTTGAAATCATGGAACAAAACAGGGTGTTTTCCCAGCAGCATTAAAAAAAAAAAGCTGAAATTTTTGAAATAGCCAACAAATATTTTTTAGTCCTTCCTACAAATTAAAGGGCACCTTGCTGCTTTAGAACAGCCTTCTTCAAGCTGGTACCCTCCAGATACTTTGCACGTTAGCTGCTATTCACTCTAGGCAGCATGGCTAATTGTTCAAAACGCTGGATGTTGTAGTCCAAAACATCTGGATGACATCAGCTCGGGGAAGGCTGCTTTAGGAAAATAAATCATATTATGATTTACTTGGCTTGCTCTAAACTTATCATTAAAATTAAAAACATGTAGAAGTAAGCTCGGTAAATTTGTAGCTATTCTCTAAATGAGCTATATTTTTAATTTACTATACAAAATATAATTTTATGAGCAAAACAAATTATGTTTTAGACAGTTTAGGTTTCTACTTTATGTCTCATCATAAATAATTTCATTCATAGCACTAAAGGCACTTTTAAAGAAGAAAGCTGAAATTCTTAAGATGGTGAATTCTGTCCACAGCACGAAGTCCTACAGATTTTTCCACACTTGATTGGACACACAAATGCTTCTTATAACAAAACATTAAACAGCACACATAAAAAGATGCAGACATTAATAACTAGGCAGACTACACCACAAGAATGAATCAGACTACTCCATACCATTCTGAAAGTGCTTACAATAGCATGATATATTTTTTAAGCAATAAATACATAAGGGAAAGTGCAGAAGAGAGGAACCTGGCATGTTCATGTCATACACTGTTTTCTCTCTCTTCCTCTTTTTCTACATCATCCTCTTCATTCTGGGGCTCATCGTCAAGCAGGACGACAGAGGAAGGTGCAGCCCAGGCATCCTTTGACAGAAGTTCCACCGCTACGATATCTTCATGCACTGCACGGTTTAGGTTTTTAAGTCCGTGTATTATGACCTGTCAGCATGAAACAGCCAGATGTAAACAGTCATGAAGCCTCATTATGAAAGCCGATACAAACAGCAGATAAATTCCTGGTTGTAGGCTAAGTGAACCATGTGCCCCTGAAGCAACTAAATAATTTCCCGAAGACACCCGAAGAGACAGGAGGAAATCTGCACTAACACGTTGCTAATAAGATGAAACTACAAGTTACCCAGCTATATCATCTAGCCTTCTACAAGGGTAACTTCTACATCTAGCCCAGTACAAGGGTAACTCTAAAAGTGGCTTGCTGCCTCAATCCTGGTTAAAGTCCCAAGCACACAGGGTTCAGCAAAGCTCAGCACCCATGTGCATGTACAGGAACATGACCCAGGACCAATGGGTCATGTTCATCGTCCTTTACAGTGATGGGTACAAAGCCTTCACAGCATGTTTCTCAGATGCAACACCCAACAGTAAATAATACACATTGTGGTTTCCCTCCTGGTTCACATCCAACTGTGATTTAGTTAGAGATGGAATATTCAACATTGTTTAAATCATGGTTAAATTTTATTTTCGCATAAAGTCTGTAGTAAGCCATCCAGAGAGGCACACTGATTGGATGGGTTAGAAATATCCCAAATAAATAAATACATGCATGCATAAAGTCAGTGAGGCACATATAACAACAACACTGGGCTGAGTGGGTGGACTTCAGCTAGTAACTCTGCAGCTGGGAAAACATCACGATATGGCACAGTAAGAAAAACTATTGGGATAAAAACAGCTTTGCTCAGAAGAACCACATGGGATTTCCGTTTCTTCCCACTGCCCCCGCTCACGCTGCCGTCAGTCTGGAGAGCTGAAATGGCACTTGATGCAGTGGCAGGGAATGAAATCAAGGTCTTCCTAACCGGACATGTACTTCAGACATAAGGTCCATGACTCAGTTTTTCAGCACAAGCCTTATTCCCAAATAGGCTGCACTGACATTAATGTGAATCAATCCCCCAGTAAACTTTTTTAGAATTACAGCTCAAATGCACTAAAATTACTAGCTTTTTTTTTTAAGAGTATCACACACACCTCTGCCAGACCAACGGCCTGTCTTCATTTCAAATGAGCAGAAATTCAGAGAAGGGAATGCACAAACCAAAAGGGCTACTGTTTCTCCAACAAAGGCTGTTGTATGGAATCATACAAAATACAAATCACAGTATGTGTCACACTAACCTCTCTCTCTTCTCCATCTCCATGAACCCAAACTGTGGCTTCAAGGTAATTATCTCTGTTAGCTCTGAAGGTTCCTTGGAGGTACAGACCAGACTTTAGGCCCTGCTGTAGTTTGCTGAGGGGAAGATGCTCTGGAAAAAGTATCCTTCCACTTTCAATCTCATTCTGTAAAAGCCGCACAAACATGAAACAGTTGTTAGTGTAAGTTTTGACCCATCCGATGGCGATGTAGAATTCAACTGCATTCTCTTAATATAAAGACAGTGCTCAATGGCTCCTGCGAAGTTACACACAGCTGTCATTTCCAAGATGCTCTTGAAAGGTCCTGCCTGCACGGTGCTTCTCTGGTGCTATGGTAGTCTAGTTTGCATTAGTTCTGAAGCCACTCCATGTCAACGAATCCTCGGCCTTCCCACCTTCCCTTTTACTTCTTGCCACATCAAGAGGAGCAAGGAAGGAAGAACGGAGACTATGGTTGAGCAGCAGAAAATATTCCGATACAGCTTAGCAGCAAGACTTTTACAATGGGAACGTTATATACTACAGCAGAGGCGGTTTACATGAAGATCTGAAACGTACCGCATCATCATTTAAGCACGCAAGTCGATCTACAAGTTCAGGATTGGCTATCAAGCTCTTTATGTACTCTTCACCTACAAAAGGATACAATGAGAACATAACAGTAATCATAAGCCATTCAACAAGTAGTTACATAATAACTTAATAGTAAAATTATTGTACTAATTTGTTTATCAAGACAGTAAATTTCAGTTTAGACTGTAAGACTTGAACAAATTATGCTTTGGTTTGGTAGCTAGGAATTATTTCTATTAGCTAGCAGGATCACAGTAAAAGTGCCTCTCAGACTGAGTACATGCATATTGCCTTACTCCTTCCACCAAATGCAAACTGCCCTATTAGTCTACACAAAATATTTAGGGGAAAGGCTTATAGTAGAGAAAGAATTGCCCTCCCAACAAGTATTGCTATCCTGCTTTTTAGAAACGCACTAATTCTCCCAGCTCTACAAGAGATTTATAAATAATCTAAGAACCCAGACTCCGACTTTGAAAAATCCATTCCATGGTTATAGAGTTCCCACCCAGCTCCATTTGGGTCCTCCCTCCCACTTTCAATCAGTCATGGGAAGAGAATAGTGAGGTGATGGGGGAAGAGAGGCCAGCTAGAAGCAGACTCTGCTGCAGAAGTCCCTTGCAAGGAGCATTCTGGCAACTACAGTCAGATGCCGGAACCACCAGCGCATACATGGCAAAAGACCGGCAGACCCTGCCAAACAGCAGGGTCCAGCAGCAGCCTCTATTCAGCATCCTCTCCTCTAAGCGAAATCTACTTCAGATTTTCTACCAGAACATGTTAATAGCTGCCTCTTTTCTGTAGGGCAGCTCTGTCTGGATTTTTTTCTTTAAGCCAGCATAGGATCCAACTATAAACCTCAGCACTTAAATTGCCTGACTCCACAAGCTGTGCTATTGGTGTATTTTATCTTGTACTTCTAATGTGCTGTTGCAAACCTTCCAGAGAGCCCCTGCTACTGGGGCAGTATTGAGATTAATTAATTAAATATCAGGTTAAAAAGTATCCTTCCCCCGAACATGACAGTAAGTGCTTTTCTCAACAGCTGAACTTACAGGTATAAGCAGTTATTCCCTCTTCCACTGCTTTCTCTTTATTTTTTCTGTCATTGGTGAGCAAGATAATTTGAATCTTCTCTTCACTTTGCAACTTTGCTAGATGCTCACTGTACCATTTTGCAGCTACTCTGATGGCTCTGTCATTGCGGTCATTGGCGTTTTCCCCCTGTTCTTGCTCTATGTATGTTTCCCTGGAGTTAAGAAAATATATTTTATTCAGTCTATAGCAATACATTATCGTGTAGAGATTGGAGAAGCTTGGCATCTATTCATATGTAAACAGTTCCATCCCTCCTTATCCAAGAGGGATAAAACTTAAACAGAAACTTCCAGGAGGAATCTGATGGATTCTGGGATGGCAATCCCAAGAGCTGAAGTGGCCACTAGACCTAATGTATGCATAGAAAGACCACGAGTGCATTTTAGTATCTCTCTCCAACAAATTAGCTAATATTCTAGAAAACTTCCACAATCAACTACATGTTCTAAAGTATAGTTTAGTTTTTGTTTATTTGCAAAACATTTTATAGCTTAAATAATTTTAATCGGGTTTTATTAATATTAATGGGGGACTGCAGGTGGCGCAGTGGTTTAAACTGCTGTGCTGGTAGATCGAAAGGTCGCCGGTTCGAATCTGCACAACGGGGTGAGTTCCCGTTGCTCCGTCCCAGCTCCTGCCAACCTTGCAGTTCGAAAGCATGCAAATGCAAGTAGATAAAAAGGTACCACTTCGGTGGGCAGGTAACAGCGTTCCGTGCACTTCGGTGTTTAGTCATGCCAGCCACACGACCACGGAAACTGTCTGCGGACAAACGCTGGCTCCCTCGGCCAGGAAACGAAGATGAGTACCGTCCCCTAGAGTCAGACATGACTGGACTTAATGTCAAGGGGAAACCTTTACCTTTTATTAATATTAATATCCTGTCGCATTTTATCTTGTTATTATACTCGTTGATTGTTGTATTTATTGCTTATTTATATTGTAAGTCGCCCTGAGACAATTGGATTGGATAGGACGGAATAAAAATATTCTAAATAAATAATACATACATAAAAAAAATGGTAAGTTACAATTGTTACATTAATGTATCCTGTATTTTGGTATTGGTAACACAGTTTAAGAGAACTGTATAGACCAGTGATGGCGAACCTTTTAGAGACCGAGTACCCAAACTGCAACTCAGAACCCACTTATTCATCGCAAAGGGCCAACACTGCACTAAAACCTGAATTTGCTGACCAGCAGCTCAAGGGGGCAACGCTCCACTGACCACCAGCTTTTGGCTGGCCCTGAAAAAGGCATCCGAGTGTATTTCCTACCTTCTGGCAAAAGCACAACGGGTTGTGCAGACTCGAGCCGGTGACCTTTCAATCAACCAGCCCAGCAGTTTAAACCACTGTGCCACCTGCATCCCTCTAAAATCACAGTCCATGCAAATCCCTGGCTGCTCAGACCAGTCATGCGAAGCTGAGTGATGTCAGAGCTGAGTGATGTCGTTGCCTGGCGCCCTTAATCTTTCCGAATATGCGCATGGCTGCTAGGGCAATCACGTGCCAGAGAGGGCTCTGCATGCCGCTTTGGGCACGCATGCCATAGGTATAGACTATATATATGTCACTGGCATAGACAAATTTCCAACAGCCACTGGGTATGGTGGGTGGTTACAATTTAAGTCCATAATGCACACTAAACATATCATAGAAATGGAACGCTAAAGTGAATATATAAAATGTAACAATGCCATGAGGAAAGACAGCAAAGGATTCCAGACTTTGTCTTGTTGGTATAACAATGTCTGATGCTGGGTCCATTGTATAAACAACTGGTCATGGAGCAGCTTCCTACAAGGAAAGGTTACAATGTTTGAAGGACATGAAGGGGGTATATAAACGTCTGCATAGTATGGAGAAAAAGGATAGTGAGACATTTCCCTCCCTCTCCCATAACACTAGAACTCACGAATATCTCATAATGCTGAATGGTGTGAGAATATTGACTGATGACTTCCAATCTCTTAGACAATAAGTGTGTGAGCAGGACTGTTTTTTTTCCCTTTTCAACATGCAGTTTATAAGTGTTATAGTAATTAGTATGTATACATTTTACAGGCAACAAAGAATGTCTAATCTGAGTCAAGCATGCTTAAATGTTCGAAGAATTTTAACTAGTTTGGCTTCCCTCTTGCACTGCATGTTCAGTTCCCTCTTCTAATGAAACTCTTAGTCCAACAAAGATCACTGTACACAAAACAATGCTCAAAGTCCAGAGCAGACGCTTTACGTGGGGCTTCCCCTGAAGACAGTCCGAACACTTCAATTGGTGCAAAATAGAGCTGCCAGGTTGCTGACGGGGACGGGGCGTTATGCTCACATGACTCCAGTCCTCCGTCAGCTTCACTGGCTTCCCATTGAAGCCCGGGCCCAATTCAAGGTGTTGATTATGACCTATAAAGCCCTAAACGGCTTGGGTCCTGGCTACCTGAACGAGCACTTACGTCCGTATATGCCCGACCGCCCTTTGAGATCTGCGGGAGAGTCCCTTCTCCGGGAACCCTCCATGAAAGAAATTAGGAGAGTAAGTACCCGGAGGAGGGCTTTCTCTGCGGTGGCGCCCAACCTATGGAATTCACTCCCCAAAGAGGTCCGCCTGGCTCCATCATTACTGGTTTTTCGGCGCCAGGTAAAGACCTTTTTATTTAAACATCATTTCAATTGTTAAAACATATGATCTGGCCAGGGCAACTTCTTCTTCCTTCTCTTTCTCCTCCTATATTTTTATTTTATACTGATAATTCTAATTTTATATTTGTAAATCAATGTATTTTTTGTATTTTTGTATTTAATGGTAATTTATTATGTACTATTGTATTTCAATGTATTTTATCATGTTGTAAGCCGCCCCGAGGTTTCGGCAAGGGGCGGCATAGAAATGTTATAATAATAATAATAATAATAATAATATATCTGCAAGAACTAAACAAGCATGAGAAGAAATAAGTAGATCATGGCTCTTCATGCTTACTTATGGTGCTCATTAGTGAAGGAATAGAAATGTTTTTCAGAATTCGCTATCACATCTCTTATTCGCTTGTATACGGGTGCACTCCGCTTCCTCACTTCCTGTAATACTGTCTGAAGAACGATCACATTTTGAATAACTGGATCTTCAAGAATATCAATCTGGAAAGAAAATACAACATGTAAGCAAATCCTCATCACAACACCCAAAGCCTACAACTTCCAGCATTTCTGCCTAATATATACCGTTCATCTAAACTGCCAGCACATTAGAAGAACCACACTGGATCAGACCAAAAGCCTGCTTGACCCAGCATTCTGATCTCACAGCGTTTTGCCTTTAATAGCCACCTGTCCAACGCCCCCTTGCTAATGGTCACAGGGGATGGGAGCTGTAGGTCAGAGAGGCACGACTTCACAGGACAGGAGCCCATCCGTGGCTGCTAGTGAGGAGGGCCACCTAGCATGGCCAGGAACGAGCGAGGGATGCATGCCCCCCCACCCCAGTCATGGCCACCGGCTGCCTGCCGGGGGGCCTCCCCGCCGCCGTACCTGGTGCAGCAGCACGTTGGTGTCCAGGAGCAGGTAGTGCGGAGCGGGGCACAGGCTGCTGGCGGCCCCGCCGGGCCGGGCCTCCAGCAGCGGGCCGCCCGCCGCCCCGGCGCCACAGGCCGCGCAGGCGGCCGCCCCGCACGCGATGTCGTCGCGCAGGTAGTGCTCGCGCACCACCTTGAGCACGGCGCCGGCCCGCGTGCGCTTGAGGAAGGTGCGCGAGGTCAGCATCGCGGCTCGCGCCCAGGCGCCGCGCGCCTCCCGGGGTGCCTCGCGCGGTGACGACGGCGGCCGCCGTGGGATCCGGCGCAGCCCTCACCTCCGGGTTCCGGCCGAAGCGCGCGCGCGCGCGTGCGTGCACGGCCGCTCTCGCCCCTCTGCCTCCACGCGGCCCTTCGCTGGGGAGCCGGAAGTGTGCGCCCGTGCGGGCGGCGAGATTCTCAACTCTTCCTTTTTCCGGGCGGCAGAGGGCTTGCCCCGCAAAGTCAGCCGCGGCTCTCTCTCTCAGCGGGCTCGCATGCCATTTCCCTGACCAGGCCATTCCACAGTTCTACCTCCCCGAGCCCCAACACAGACGACCGAACCATCCTTTTTCCCCTCGGACAGCTCCAGGCACGCCTCCCGGCATGCCGTGCGAACAGGCGAGGGAAGGGGCGGTCCTGCCCGTGGCGTCGGTTTGGTAACCGTGGTGACGAAAGTTCGTCCGGAACGCGCGCCTCCCAGCAGCGCGTGCGCAGTCGGCGCCGGGACGGGACGCTAGGTAGGTGGCGCGGCGCGGCGCTCCGTGCCCGCTCCTCTCGCCGTCCCCCGGTCGCCGGGCAGCGGCCAGCGGCAGCCTGCTCCCGGCTCCCGGCTCCCGGCTCCGCCACCGCGGGAGGGGGCGCGGCGTGGGCCGGCCAGGCGCGGGACTGATCCCTCGGGCCGGCGCCCCGCCGTGGCTTCCCTGCCGCGCAGCCCTGCCTTCGGGACCCCCTGGGCGAGCCGCGTCCGCGAGGGGAGGCTGGCGGGCGAGCGAGCGAGGAGTGAAGCCTTGGCCGTTGCAGATGCATGTTCCCAGGGGTCTTTTGGGAAGCATGGGCTCCCGGCTCTCTGCAAGCTCTGCATCCTTGCTAGTTGCGTGGCTGGTAGCAAACCCTGCACGCCCGAGACTGCAGCGAACGGTGGTTCACTGGAGCAGGCCAGCTCCGGAACACCCGGGATGGGGCCAGAGCCACACCAGCCCCGCTAGTCTTGCATCAGTGGATTTTATTTATTTATTATTTATTTATTAAAACATTTCTGTGCCGCCCCATTCGCCGAAGCCTCGGGGCGGCTCACAACATACAATTAAAATACAAAAAATAACAATATAAAATAAGTCGCCCTGGCCAGATAAATAAGCAGATAATATTAACAATTAAAATGACGCTTAAATAAAAAGGTCTTCGCCTGGTGCTGAAAAACAAATAACAACGGGGGCCAGGCGGACCTCTCTGGGGAGCGCATTCCATAGATGGGGCGCCACTGCAGAGAAAGCGGAGAAAGATTTTCCTAATTGCGCTCCACTGCGGGGTTCCGGTGCCACCTGTACTGGGTCAGGTGCGTGGCGGACTGGGATATGGAACCGAGGCGGAACCCGTAGCTTGTAGGATTCTGGAGTGGTTTCGGAGGCAGCCCCTGCTGTGAACCATGCTGCAAGGGAAGCCATGCGACTGGCGTGTAAAAGCAGAGGAGTTTATCGCCCCGGCCTCCTTTATCCAAACCTGTTCATTGCTTGAAGTTAATTTATTTCAAACAAGGCGTATTCAAGGTTATCATCGAGTTGGAATGAGTCAAGAAAGCCATCAGATCCAATCCCCTGTTTAGCCCAAGATTCCAAGATAAAACACAAGTTGTTAGGTTTGGACAATAAAAGAAGCTGCAATTAATCTGAAACAGTAGCAGAAGCTTTGGAATGTTTTGTGGCTCGGCCAGGGAGTGTCAGGAGAAGGGAAAATACTCTAGCCCAAAACTTGCCTAGGTCAATTCCTACCACAAAATCATGTTTCATCATAGAATTTGAACACAACCTACCTCTTTACTTGGGGAGTTTTACGTTATGACATAATAGAAATTGTAATTTAGGGAAGTGAACAGAAAGAAGAAGAACATAAATATTTTACTACTGAGCTTTTGGAAAGAATAAATGAACCTAAAGTACTAAATTAAATAGTCTCTTCTAGATTTATGTGTCTGAAGATTTTCTCCTGCAGACTTGTGATTGTTTGTTAATTAGAGTGCAAGCCTATGTATGATTATACAGAAAAATTAGAACTTTTTCCAGCATTCTGCAGACAGCTGTGCTGGCCAAGGGATTTTGGCAGTTGTAGGACTCTTTGCTGTCAGAACATTTATATAATTGAACTCTTAAATAGTATTCACAGATCTTCTATACAGCATCTCAGAATGTAATAACAACTTCATGAACACAAGGACCATTTGACAAACGAACATTAGTGAGGTGTAGTGGTCAAGAGTGCTGGACTGGGACTCAAGAAGATCCCAGCTCAGCCACTGGGCCAGTCATTGCCTTTCTAGCTAATTACCTCACAGGATTGTTGTTGTGAAGATAAAATGGAGAGGAGGAAAAGCTTCTAAGCTGCCTTGGGCTCCTTGCAAGTGGAAGAAAGGTGGGATAAAAATGCAATGTAGCAATAACAACAACAACAACAACAACATATTTTGTTTCAAAGAAGATAATTCCATCAGTACTAGATGAGAAATAATCATGTAGGCTTTGCTTTTGTATAGATTTCCATGTTTTTCTTGATTCAGATGTTGCGACAAAGTATCTTCCTTAAAACCTTTCTGCTTACCAATATTTCTCTCTCCTTCCCCATTTTTTACACCTTTCAGGCTGCTTGAACTGTTAGTATAAATTCTTTCCACACCGGGAGGAGAATGTCACGAAAAAGCTCAAGGGAATCGAAAAAAGTTAATGCATCCAGCTCTTTGGAGTCAGAAGATATTAGTTTGGAGACTACAATACCCACTGATGATATCTCTTCCTCAGAAGATCGGGAAGGCACTGTTAAAATTACTAGGCAGCTTATTGAGCGGAAGGAACTGCTTCATAATATCCAGTTATTGAAAATAGAGCTATCCCAGAAGAACTTAATGTTAGACAACTTGAAGGTGGAATACCTGACAAAAGTAAGAGCTTATTCGTGTGTGTGTGTGTGTGTGTGTGTGTGTTGACATGTTCTAGGGTTTCAAGGAGCAAATTAATTACTGGTAGCTTTAGTCATGTGTTGTTAATTATCCTTTTTTAAATCCTTAGCCACTTTCCCAGCAAAGTTTTTCTTTAAATCCATGTTAATTCTGTACTTTAGAAGGGTCTGCAGCACTTAGGTCCTGCTTGAAAATGTGATAAGCATCCTCTGTTTTGGAACATACACAGAATGGGAGCCTTCCATTAGCCATGCAGGCTGGACATAATGCAAGCTGTATTCTAACACATCTGGATGGCATCGTGCATATAGAATGGTCTAGTTCAAAGAACATATGACTGGAACACCTTGCTAAAGGTGTTTGCATTGCTTTTTAGCTAGCATCTCTCTTTCAAGGTAAAGGTCTTTTTCTTTGTAGTGGCAGACATGCATGAAGATCTGCTATTAAGGAAAAGAGTCAGTCTACTGAGCAAAACCAAATTTTGTGACCATCTAAAATGGGTTTTTCTTTTTTTTTTAAATATATTTTACCTTGTCTTTCAGGATAAAGTCACTCAGAAGGGCTTGCAGAATGGCTCTGCTCTCTTGCTTAAAATCTAAACTGCACAATGGAAAAAAGGGATGAGGGAAAAAGCAAAGCCTGGCACCAGTTCTTAAAGTCACAGTTCCTATAATGACCAGCTTGGCTAGAAACAGGTCAGGTAGCCACTTGCGGGCAGTTAAGAGAGAGACAGGGGCCGCTGGTCGCTCAGAAGACCCAGTGGAATAGATCCCGGACAGGATGTGACTTTCGCAGGGTGTTCCTGTGACGAACAGGTATGCTAATCCAAGTGGATACATGACTAAACCTCTCCAAGACAAGAGAGGTCCCTGTCTTGCTCCAATTAAGGGAATGGGTAAGGTGAAGATTTGAGCATTTTAACATCGGGTGTGGAGTGACTAAATAATCTTCCTCGTGTTAGTTTTGTGTAGGAAAGAAAAGTATAACATACATCATAATTGAAATACTAACTGCTTTCCTTCCTCATTTTCATGTAAACTGGAATCTCTCAGAAGCCTAAATTTCTTTCACCTCAACAGATTTTCATTTCTCCTGTTTAATTATCTTCCTTAGATTGAAGAATTAGAAGAGAAACTTAATGATGCTCTCCATGAGAAACAGCTGTTGTCTTTACGCCTAGACAACCAGTTGGCATTACAGCAAGAAGATGCTCGGTATGAAAATGAAAAAATCTAGTGAAACTGCTCGAACTGAGTGTTCAAATTATGCATAACTACTGCTTAGAGTTTTAAAAGCAAAAAGTGTAACAACCATTGTATCTACTGGTGTTACTCTGGAAAAAATACGAACTTAATTATGGTTAATTATTTGGACTTTCTCTAATTCCGTTTTTCTGTGGGGCTATTCTCATGGCAAATCAGGTCACCATGGGTTATTCAACCCACAGTAAGGGAGCAGCGTGTGCAGGGTGCGTGCATCTTCCATTTTTAATATGCAGCCTCCTCATGAGGTTGTGATGTCATGTGGTTTACATGAAGTGTAAGCAACCTGGGTGGGGATTCGATAGAAATGTGGCACTTGGCGACAGCAGCTTATTAAAGATTAAATGACCCATGTATTTCATCTGCAGCCATTTTGTGAATGGGAAAGGATTTGCATTCATAAAAAGGTGTCCTGTGTGACTTCAAAATAAACTTAACAACTTTCTAGGACCAGTTCAAGGATAGTGTCTCACTTGCTTTTATAGAAAACATCAAGAACTGATGAAACAGGAAATGGAAACGATCTTGTTACGCCAGAAGCAGTTAGAAAAGAATAACCATCAGTTAAGAGAATGGTCTGGAGATATCCGCCGCAGCTTGCGTGACCTTGAATTGACTGATGAATCCTACACCAGACTCAGATCTCTACCAGAAGATGAACTCTCTATTCCTGAATATGTGTCTGTAAGTACATGAGTTAACAGGGAACCTGAGTAGTTAGATGAGATGTGAGAAGCTTAAATCTGCCAGTGCTAGGCAGGTCATTTTGATGGAAATAATAGAACATAAAAAAGAATTTATGAAGCATTTTCTAAATGCAGGAAAAATATATTCTGAGATCATTATAAAAGCGTCAGCAGATTCTGGAACAATGTGTTTCTATAAAAAGTATATTTGTATGTTGACCCCCTCCCCCATTTAATAACTTTTTGCCGCCTTGGTGGTTTCATGATTTTTAATATGTAGCAAATCCTGATTTTCTCTTGAATCTGTAACCTGTTGGTGTAACCTACACATTCTGGGTGATGAGCTGAGTTTATGAGGTAGTGTGCTGATCTGTGTTGTTGAACTCATAACCCTTTTTTCCAGTGAGCACTATTTAAAAAGACATGGCATAGAATGCATTTGACATCCCTAGATCATATCTCAAAACATGGGAACCGATGATACAACCTTTGATCCATCTTAGGCACTATTGAATTAGTCGACTGTGAACATTATATGTAAGCAGATGTAGTCTTGCTAATTTTTAGCATGATCATTTCTTATCAGTCCTGGCAATGATATTAAGTAAAATATTGCACCTCTGGCAAGGCTGATCTCAGGGCAGACGAGATTCAGAAAGGAGTAGCTAAATTAGCGTGTGGTCTGTACAGAATGTGGAATGTGGCTCTTGGCAGAAATAATGTTCCCCGACCAAACTGAAGGGAAATGAAGGCAAAAAAAGGACGTAGATGGGATGGATAGAAGAGTATACAATATTTATACTCCTTTTGCTTCATTTGAAGAGTAATAACTGTGTGTGTTTGCTTTGCCCTTTCTAGATCAAATTCTATGAAGTAGTGCATCCTTTAAGAAAAGAGTTAAGTGACCTACAAGTGAAGAAGGAAACAGCATCAGAAGCACTGAATGATTACAAATCCCAGCTGAAACAACTGATGGAGGTTTGTATGTCAGTATTGTTAAAAGTATTGAAGCTGGGGCCTGGCCGAACGCCAAGAAGAACTTTCTGGCTGTTAGAGCAGTATGGCAACGCACCAATGGCCCAGGGAGGTTGTGGGCTCTGCCACCCTGGAGGCATTCAAGGTGGAGCCGGGCAGCCACCTGGGAGGGGTGGTTTTAACTTGGGTCCTGCACTGAGCAGGGGAGGAAGCCTGTGGCCTTCTTGGTCCCTTCCAATGTGGCTATTTTATGATTCTGTCATAAATGACACAGAGAAACATCCTAGGAACTTAGGGTTAACAAGCCCTTTGATATGTTATGTTCATATTATGTCAAGTATGTTATGTCCAGGCCGGCTGCTGCTCTCCTTCAGTTTCTTGTACGAAGTACTGGCTGTGTGTGCAGTCCCCATACCACATCCAAGGCATCTTGCATAAGGCTTGATGAAGACCTTACTAAGAGGTATTGAAAACCCATGGCTTGTTGCTGCAGAAGTGAGTTGTAGTGAGCCTTGTGCCTGTAGTAAAAAAAAAAAAATACTGTTGGGCTTCAGTAAACATGCTGGGTGTTTCCGTTTTCGTCATATAGTAATGAGAAGCTGAAAGTTGTCTACCAGTTAGTGAAGGGAATGAGTTGGCAGGTGTGCGGTTCTCTACAGTGTGCACGGGGACTGGGAATGATAGGCTGGCACCACCTCTTCACAATGAGCCAGAGGATCTTCAGAGCTTTCAGAAACTGGAAATCAGAAATGCTTTCTTTCAGGCCCAATTTAATTCAAACTCGTCTGATGCTCTGCTGCACCTTCTTCACATATGAACACATTAGAGCTTAGTGTTTACTGGCAAGCCAAATGGTGAACTATTTTTTCTTTCCCTCTCCTCTGAAAAATGGTAAGACCAACAACTAGCCTATAGCGGCATTTACATTCTTCAAGTTCTTCTGAGGAAAAAGTAATTTGCAAGTAATTTCAAATGAGATACACATTTCCTAATCTGCTGAGATGACAAAATCCATCCTTTTATCATATAAGGATCTTCCTGTAGACATTAAAAAATCCTTCACGGATCGAAGTGATGAGGACAGTTGTGGTGAAGGTGCCAGTAGCTTTTCCCAACGTTCTCATTCTAGAGGTTCTTTTTCTGTTACTCCTTTTATAATGCGTAATGCCAAAGAATTTCTCCATCAGCAACAGCATCTTCAGGTGAACAAATATTGCAAACAGTAGCATCCAAAACAATACTGGATAGCTTCATTTATAGATGAGATAACAACTGAAGATCAGGGGTGAATACTGACCAAGCTTTTGTAAGAAAATATCTTCTTCTGGAATCCTGTTTTCAATAACTGGAAATACATACTGATGGGAAGCTTTTAAATTTAAATTGCTAACAACATATTGTTCACTCACCAAACAAGTCTCTTTTAGAATCAGAAAATGAATGCATAACGGAATGTGAGCAGGGAGAAATCAACAAAGCACTATGTCCGAAAATGGATGGACATGTGTGAGGGGAGAAGGAACCAAAGTTTGGGATGCCAGCAACTCAGCCATTTTTTTACATAATGGGGAAGCAGGAGAGAACAGACATTCTGCAGAATATATTGGTTGTAAAATAAATGAAGCCCTATGAAAAATATGAAGAGGCTAACTGACAGACAATGCAAATGATATGAAAGCTGCACGGGACATCATATTCCCATATTACTACAGTAGCATGTGCATATCATGGGCCAAATTTGTGATAACATGAAATTGGACATCCTTCAATCTATCTTTAGATGAGCAAAAAATTAATAAATCACACACAACCTACTCATATTGTAGCTGCTGCCTTCAAGGAAAGCCAGAAGAAAAACGGAAAAGAATAAAAGAATCACACTGAAGCTCTGTAGTAAAACTCAATAAGGTGGAGTGGTGATCTTTGAAAATTACAATGATAGTCAGGGGTATCCAGAATCATGGATTTTGATGAAGATGGTTTTTGGGTTTAAGCGGCAGTACTCTCTGAGAATTCTAAAGCCTGTATCTTCAGAAATGACTGCATATGAATTGGATAGTGCAGTTGTGTCAGAACTTTATTGAAAGGCCAAGAAAAAGACAGCTTTTTTGATACGTGTAGCTCCACTTAAAAGTATAGAAGGAAATAAAGTTTAACTTATTAAAAAGCAGGAAGAATTTTGATGCTACTTGATTCATGCTGTGTCATTCACCTTTTAAAAACAAACATGTAAAATGATTCTCAGTTTTATAATTTGATTATAATTTGTGCTTGGTGTAAATGTTAATTTCCTAGCAAGCTCCTTACTTTTATCTCATAAAACAGAGTGTCTGCCCCAAAGACATTCCTTGGATTATTTCTGCAATTCACATTTGAAACTGCAGACCTGCACACAGTTACATGGATGTAAATCTTGTGGGACTCATTGGGGCTTGCTTGTGAGTAAACATGTAAAGGATTGCACTGTAAGTTATTTTAAGGCACAGAGCCCCTTGGAAGATGATGTCCCTCAGTGATCCATTGTTGACCAAGGGGATTGCAATATATTTTTCTGTCTCCTCCTCCTCCTGGCACCAATCTGGAGCTGGGAAACAGGTTCTCTCCCCTTGGGGAGGCTGGGACTGATGAGACCTTGGGGGACCAGCAGGACCCCCAGCCTGGGACCACAAGAGGCAAGGAGACTGCTGCAGGAGAGACGAGGGCCAGGACATGGCTGCCCACCACCACCAGGAAGACACGGTGGCAGGTGATTGTCATTGGTGAGGGGCACTGAGGTGACGGTGTGCCACTCCAACCTTGAGACGAGGGAGGTTTGCTCCCTGCCGGGCGCACGCATCCAGCATGTGAAGGACAGAGTGGAGTGTCTTGTTCGCTCTGGGGGTCGCCAGCCGCTTCTGGTGATCCATGTGGGCACAAACGATGTGGCCAGGTAGGGTGTGATGGGGATCACCAGGGACTTTGAGGCCTTGGGGAAGAAACTCAGGGAACTAAAGGCCCAAGTGGCCTTCTCATCTATCTTACCAGTCTGGGGATTTGGGCCAGACAGGGACAGGAGGGTCGCTGAGCTGAATGACTGGCTTAGGGTGTGGTGCCAGAAGGAACGCTTTGGGTTCCTCAACCATGGCACCCGGTTTCTTGCCAGTGAACTTCTGGCAAGGGATGGGTTGCATCTCACAAGGATGGGAAAAGGTCCTTTGGAGATGCTCTAGCAAGCTTCGTCCGGAAGACTTTAAACTGAGCTGGGGGTGGGTGGGTTCAGACCCCCCAGAAACGTGTCTGCACTGGACAAGTGTGGGGAGAGGATCGGGGCTCTGGGAGCAGGGTTTAAAGGTACTGCAGGGACTGACAGGACTCCTACAGAGAGGGGCCAGGTATCAGGGAGGAAGGAGGAGGCTGGGGACTCCAAAGAAAGGAAGCAATGGGAAGGAGTTGAGGTGCATGTATACCAATGCTAGGAGCATGGGTCATAAGCAGAAAGAGCTTGAAGTTCTCCTGGGAATAGGAGAGTATGACCTGGTGGGAATCACAGAAACTTGGTGGAATGAAAGGCAAGACTGGAATATGAACATAGAGGGGTATCACCTTTTTAGAAAGGACAGGAAGGGAAAGAGGGGTGGGGGCATGGCTTTATATGTCAGGGAAGGGATAGGATGCAGTGAGATAGAATGCAGCACAGATGGGGATTCGGTAGAGGCAGTCTGGGTGAATCTTAGGGGTTTTGACAGGGAAAGAGACCTGACAGTGGGGGTATGTTATCGCCCTCCAGGTCACCTCGAGACCCTGGATGATTTCCTGACAGGCCAGATTCTAAGGATATCTTGGGAGAGAGACACAGTAATTATGGGAGATTTCAATCTTCCGGATATTACTTGGGAGACTCACTGGGCAGTGACAGCCAGGTCACGTCACTTCCTAGAAGCTATAGAGGGAGGGTTTTTCACACAGGGTCCGAGAGGCGACGAGGGGGGGGGGAAACATCCTTGACTTGGTCTTGACCAATAGGGAGGAGCTGATAGATGAAGTACAGATTAGGGGAGCTCTGGATGCGAGTGATCACTCCATCCTTTGCTTTGAGATCAGGGGACTGGGGACGTGCAGCAGGTCGAGCACTAGAAGCTGGGACTTCAAGAGGGCCAACTGAAGGCCAGACTGGGGAGAGTCTCCTGGGATAGGTTACTGGAAGGTGAGTGAGTTGAGGAGGGGTGGATGGCACTAAAAAGGGAGGTTTTGGAGGCGCAAGCCTCGATACCTCTAGTCAGTAAGGTGGGGAGGCGGAGGAGAGTGCCGCCATGGATGCGAAAGGAGGTGGTTAGAGGGATTGGATGAAAGAGGAACCTCTGTAGGAAATGGGTACTGGGGGAAATAGACAAAAGGGTATACCTGGAGGAGGAGGCCCGTTGCAGAAGGATTCTTTGCAAGGCTAAGGCTGATTACGAGCTGAGACTTGCCAAGAATATCAAGAGCAACAAAAAGGGCTTCTTTCAGCATGTAAATAGGAAGAGGAAGGGGAGACAAGTGGTGGGACCACTAAATAAGGAGGAAGGGGATCCAGTGACTGATATGAGGGAACAGGCACAGATGCTAAATGACTATTTTGCCTCTGTTCTCCCAAAGCAGGATGGGGGAGATCTGCATAGGAGATTAAATGAGGCCGGGCACTTAGGGGCACAGATTAGAGTCACCCCCCTTGAATTCGAGGGGCTCCTCAGGGCATTGGACATTACAAAGGGGCCAGGCCTTGACGAGTTACACCTGAGAGTACTTAGAGAGTTGGCAGGGGTTCTCTCACACCCGCTGACCTCCATTTTTGAGGCCTCATGGAGAACGGGTAAGTTCCAGAGGACTGGAGGGTGGCATCAGTGGTCCCAATTTTCAAAAAGTGTAGTAGAAGGGACATGGGGAATTACAGACCTGTTAGCCTTACGTCTATTGTAGGAAAAACAGTGGAAAGGCTCATAATAGAGAGAGATCTAGTGATGCTAGATAGGAAAGGGAGGCTGGCA